GAAATCATATTAGATGCTAGAATATGACAACATGGAGAGGGCCAGATGAATGGATAACGATTCTTATTAACCAAGACAGGGCGGCTGGAGGACTTAAAGTCGTGCTGAGACTGTGAAGGCTGATAACGGGAGGCTGCAAATCTTGCGCCTTTAATGCGACAAACTGACCAGTGGACCCAACAGGAAAAGCTGTGTTGGCTTTTGGTGACTGCTGGAAATTGAGACCTGGGACCCTGCGGAGCAGCCAGGACTGCCCCGCTGCACCAGAGGAGATTGTGAAAAGCTCTGGAGCTCTGAAGCCAAACACTGTGCAGTTTTCTGACCATTCCATGCTGTGCCAGGAATGCAGTGAAGGCAAAGCAGCGTAGTGTACGGTAGACTCAAGAGGAAGACCTGCACTGAGCCCTGGTGAGTACTAGGGACTGGGTCCTGTGGCTGCTGTGGATGGCCAGAGAACATCTTGGAATTGGGCAGAGCCCGCCACCACGGCGACATCAATAACACAGAGAGTCTGGCGGAAGACATCTTAGAGTTGGGCAGAACCTGTGGCTCAGTGACATCACTGAGTCGCCCCTGGCGTAGAGAGGTCTGGTGGAGAACATCTTGAAATTGGGCAGAGCCTGGCACCATGTTGGCTTCAGGGTCATACAGAGAACTAGTGGAAGACATCTTGGAGTTGGGCAGACCCGCTGTCCTGGTGCTCCTGGCACAGAGAGGTCTGGAAGAGAACAGTTGGGATTGGGGCAGAATCCTGTGCCACGGTGACATTAGTCAGCTGCTTCTGGCACAGAAAGAACTGGCAGGATCTGCTGGGGCTGAACCAAGCCTCTGCTTGGGGCCCAATAAGCAGATACAAAATAGCCCCAACTCTGTGGCATCCAGAAAGTACAGCCTAATTGACTGGCACAGGGGCTGGAGGCTAGTCTGCACTGTCCCTGCATCACTGCCTACCCCAGATAACAGCAAATTGGGGAAGACAGCAAAAACTCAAGTCAGCATGCTTCTGAAAGACCCTAAGCAGTACAGAGAGGGCCAGAGACCCCCAGCACACTCCAGTCTGAAAGAAACCAGAAACATGACAAGAGATAAAAATTTTTAAAAAAAATCTCCAGCTGCCCAACATGAGAAAATAAGCCCAGAAGTAAACACTGAAGAGAACAAGCACAGTAACCATCCAATACTGGACACAGCATCAGCTGAAATTAAAAAATACCTCCATGACCTCATAGATGAATTTAAAGCTATACTCCTGATCTAAGTGAGGCAAGATATAAAGAGATTAATTAAAGAAATGACAAGCTCCACCCAAGAGAACACAGATGGAAGAACTGAGAAATCAGAAAAGAAAGAGAAACTTCTGAAGAAGAATTTAAACATAACTTAGAATACATGAAACAGAACCAAAGAGATTACCAATAAACTAAAAACTCCATTGAACACTGGCAAAATGCCCTGACAGAAACTAAAGCCAGCCTTCTGAAACTTGAAGAGAGATTTATGACATATGATTGTGAAAGAAAAAACCTCTTAAAAATAAAAAGGAACCAGAAAGAAACAATTCAAAGGCTGGAAGATAACAAAAGGACACGTAACTTAAGAATAAAGAATGTGAGTGAGGAAGCAGGAGCAACCAAAAATGAAATACAAAGAATATTCACAGATATATTAAAGCAAAACTTCCCATGTATAGCAAAAAGAAATGATATCCAGATAAAAGATGCATACAGTACACCAGCTACCTACAACTAAAACATATCTATGCCTAGACATATAATAATCAATATTCCAGAAATCCACCAAAAGAACAGAATATTAAAAGCAGCCAGAGAAAAAAAGCAGATTACCTACAATGGGAAAATTATCAAAATAACAACAAACTTATCAACACAAACTCTTAAGTCAAGAAGGGAATGGGGAGAAATATTCCAAGTCCTGAAAGAAAATAATATGCAACCAAGACTCATATACCCATCAAAACTCTCTCAAAATTAATGGAGAAATAAGATGCTTCCAAGACAAAGAGGAACTGTGGGAGTTCATGGCCACCAATCCAACCCTACAGAGAGTGCTGAAGGACATTACAGAGAAAGAGAGGAAGGGATACCAGGATTCCAGCAACAGTGGCAGAGAGGCCTCAATGAATGGGGCAGACAGTGGAATGAGGGAATAAGGTGGACAAATTATAGCAGAAAAGTGGAGTAGCAGACATGAGGCAGAGACGGTAAGCTATAGTCTTTAGTATAAACAGCTCTGAAACACTATAAAAAAAGGCAGAGGTCATTAATAGTGTATCAGGATTTAAAAGACACAGTAGTCTTATCGCCATATTTAGTTTGAATTTAATTTGTTCTGGTCTGTCCACTCATGTCAGATTTGAGGGCACAGACATCTTGAACCAAAAATAGCAGGTTGTACCATGGTAACTATCCTTGCTTTCCTATTAACTTAAACTGAAATCCTGTATTACTTACATTGTCTTACTATGACTGATCTTAATTGAATCCGATTCATAAGACCATGGGTTTGCCTTGGCTGATTTTATTTGAATTTGGTATGCTTGTTAGTATCAACCCTAAAAGTAGAGGCAACTGCTCTGAAGATGACAAAGTGTAAAGGATATCCATACTGGTATTAATTATTAACAACTCTCAAATCCTACAATGCTTTCAAAGTTGTGTTTTTATAAAAATAGGTAATATTATGTTTAACTATATTAAGCTGATGATGTGGACAAATCTGTTGAAAATAACAAGAGAAAACATAGTAACTATGGAAGATCACCTATATTGTGGTCTTATATGTCTCATCCATTGTGTGTTTTTCTAGGAATTTATTTTGCTGTCTTGTTATGATTTGTTTTTCCCTATAATACAGAGAGGATAGATATATATGTAGAAATTCACACATGAGATTTTTTTTAAAAAATTATTTACGGAATAGATTATATAATGCAAGACATAATCAACAGATACTCTGAAGAAGAGACACTATGAAACTCAATGCTAATTTTGTAGCATTATGATATAAATTCTAGCAGTACTATTATTCACTGATCAGAATGATATTAGTCTAGTCTCTTAAGTTCAATTTCAGCATATGTAAAGATGGGGACAGCTACCACAAAGAAAATGAGAGATGCGATAGTAGTTATTATTGTCTTCCCCAATGTTAGATCTTGAAGACCTAAAAGCCTTCATCATCCTGTAATGATTTGATTAGTTCTATAATATGCAATATGTATATAATGTGGGTGAAGATGGGGACAACTATTTGTAAGAAACTAGAGACAGATAGACAGTGAAGATCTCCAGTGGACTTGCTTTGAGATCTGTATTTCTTTAAATTGTTTTTTTAACTGTTTTGTTCTGTTTTGATATGTTTAATCTTACCCTCTTTGAGGTGTAAAATAAGTGTGTAGGACTGATAACCATATTACTGAGTTTTTGTTCGATCATTGAGCAGAACTGTTTGCAGTGTCACTTTTTGAATGTCATTTTAAATAATTTTGTAACCTGAACAGCTATTTCTAAGATGACAATATGTAAGTTATCAACCAGTGATTTCTTACCGTTTATTTTTCTGTAATTTTGAATTATTTCTACCCTTTTTTATCTCCATGTATTTTTTGTTTTCTTTTCTTTAAATAAAAAAAAATACATAAATAAATAAATAAATTAGAAGGCAAAAAAAAAAAAAAAAGAAGATACCATTATGGGTCAGGATCACTGGTGAAGGAACAGGCTTGGTAAGGAAGACCAGGTTTGGAGTTCAGTTCAGGTCATATTGAGTTCAAGATGTCTGCCAATTATCCCAGCAGAATGGACCCATAGATGGGTGTCCAAGTGAATCATATGTGGGGCTCAAGAGACAGATCTAAAGAGAAGTACTTGCAAATCATATGTGGGATTCTATGAAAGCAGGTGTGATGGCCACATGATAAACAAAACAGCATGCCACTATTGTGTGTACCAATATGTTATCTTTTTGTATATATATGTATGTCTGTGGTCCCCTACTGTTGGGCATGCAGCGCCGTATTTGTGTATCCAAGTGAATCTGTCTATGGTTTCACAAAACCCTCTGACCTCTTTGTCATTCAGGACAAGAGTCTTCTTAAAAGTTGTTATGACTAATGTGACAGTAGAACTAAGATATGAGGACTAGGGACAAATAGGAGGCTGTGGAAGAGCACTCATCATGGGTATCTTGGATACCTGGTTCCAAATTCTCTTCCTAGCAGAGATAGTTGGTCCTTTACTATTGTCACATACTTCACAACTCAGTACAGAGGCAGAGAGTACATGTGGAGCAGGGTATAGAGCATGAGCACCTCAGGAAACAAGGCCAGAGCCTTTGCCTTCAGGCTCAACAATGATTAGCTGCAATACAGACACCTGAAGGATAGAGCAGGGAAGGCGTTAGAGAAGAAATCAGTGGACCACTGGAACATTCAAAGGAATAATTAACTATGCACGTCAAAACAAGGCAGGATGAAAATGAAATGCAAATCTTCAAATGCTGACCCTCAAAAAGTAATCTCAGGCAACTCAATGACAATGAAACAATCCAACTTAAGGCAACAAATTTGAGTAAGCATTTTCTAAAAATTTATAAATGTCCCATAAACAAGTATGTGAAATTATGCTTGATACTCTTAGACTTTAGGGATAAGCAAATCAAAACTATAATGAGAGTCAAAGAGAATACACCATGGTGAAATCCGAAAATCACTGTGGGAATTTCTCAAATATAGAATTGCCCTGGGTCCCAGTGATCCCATCTGTCGGTATGGTCCCAAACAAATTTAAAGAAGGAACTTCAATAGGTATTTGAAATTCCATTTTTATAGCAATATTATTCACAATATAAAAAAGTAAAAGTAATGAACCCAGGTGTACTCTGGTCAATCAATGAATAAACAAGAGGGGTGTGTGTATGTGTGTGTGTGTGTGTGTGTGTGTGTGTGTGTGTGTGTGTGTGTTGTACAGAAGGAAGCATCATTTTCTATTAAAAAGAAATGAAACTCTGATCCCACTACAGAAGGTCAAAACCTTGATAATGTTTTAAAAAAAGGTAGGCACATTGGACTGTGGTAGACACATGGAGTACACAGAGAAGTACAGTTCATAGAACGATGTTGGATACACCGTTATTGGAGACTTGAAAGAGAAACAGTGGGAAATTATTGCTTCACAGGTATAACTTTTAGTCTGTGATAATGAAAAATTCTGTACAGTGTAACTGAACTGAAATTGTGTAACTGAAAATGTATTTTATACCACACAATCATACATCTACAAAAGATTAAAATGGTAGATTTTAATTCGTATATTTTACCACAAAAGAGAAAATGCAAAGGAAGCAAGGATAAAGAACTTTTCTTGTAATTTTCTAGTTGCTTTGGTTGCTAGATAGGGACAGAGTCCTAATGAGTTTAGGGAAATAAGAAAGACTACAACCTCTATGCCATGCTTGATCCTTCTTATATATTAAGTCCTTGGGAATCAGACAGGTCCCACAGATTACTACCTTCCAGTGCCTGCCTGGGTCAGAAGAGAGATGTTCGGACATTGATCTACTTTCCTTTCCTTATGGGTTATTTGCCAAGGTCATGTTTGTTCAAAAAGATACCTGCTTACAAGAGACAAGCAAGTATCTTTTTGGACAACGTGTTGATCTCCTGTTGTCTTGCCTTGAAATCCTATGTCACTTGCATTTTCTTCTGATCTGCTTCGTTCTGTTCTGTTCTGTTTTGTTTTACCCTCTTTAACATAAATTTCTTAAGATAGAAGATGTTCAAGATCCTGTATGATATATGCTGCTACATGACCATTTTCTCTCTCCAGAGATATGGATGGGAAGGGTGAGATAAGACTTGTCAGGAATTACTCTGGATATACTGTTACATGATTGCAAGGCATGAAAGCTAGATAATTGGATAAGCAAGCATCTCCTTCTCTGTCTCACCACAGGCCACCTTGATTCAGACCATGAGTAACAAAGATCCAAATTAGAAATTGAACACCTCTTCTCCATCCCCCTCACCAACATCTAATCCAAGATTCAAGTGTCCCAGATTCAAGTGTCCCAGTGTGTTTCGACGAACAATCTCCCAGCCCCAGTGACTGCTGCTGCTGTGGGATGTGTTCCTGGATAGAGAGGAGGCCTGGGGGGCCAGGGAGGGTCTTCTCAGAGCCTCACTCCCATTTGCAGAGAGCTGTTTCTCTGAAAGCTGCTCTTGCTCCTCTTCCTTCTCTGAGTTTTTGAAAGCTTCCACATAGCGAAGCACTCGCAAAGGATTCTGATCATGGTGGGTTTCAACCCTGGTAGGGGAAAGGAGAAAGAACTCAGTTAACATGGGCAGAGATGACGGAGCACAGAGAGACACAGAGATGAATGTGGAGGAAACAGGATCATGAGTAAAGAGAAGGACAGGAGCAGGCTGGAGCAGGAAGAGAAACAGGGAAACGTAAGGAGAAGAGGCTTGGAGTAGAGACAATAATGAAATGAAATGGGCTTTGACAGATGGGTTTTGGAAGGGAGAGTCTGCTGTCAAATATGTGAATGTGTAAAAAAAATAGAGATTACCAAGAACCATGAGTACTATAAGCTTGAGAAGGTATTATTCAGGAAAAGCATGTGAGGAGGAAAGAGAGCCAGGTCAAAAGACAAGGAAAAACATGAAGGGCAGAATCAGATTCAAGGCACTGAAAATAGGAGTCAGGAAGGAAGGAAGCTGAGCAGAGCTGTATACCCCCCATGAAATCAAACACTTATCTGAGCACTCACCGCAAGAACCATCGGTCCCCCAGGCCATAATCACATCCACAGATCCCTGAGCGGGGCCACAGGAAGCGGGGCATCTTCCTTTCTAGTAGTACTGTGGTGGCTACGACCTGGAGGGAGGTGACAGGTAAAGAAAAAAACTTAAGAGACAGTCATGAAGTTCAGAGAGATGCAAGGACACCAAGGGAATCCAAAGCAACCTATGAAACGGGGCCCCCAAAGACCAATGGTGAGGGCCACTTTTGTATACCTCTACTCTCTCCAAGACTGTAATACTCTGCTTTTCTCATCAGGAAAAGGATGCCATTTTGTGTATTGAGTTACAGAATGACTCCTCCATTATTATTCAGATTCATGGAAAATGAGTCATTTCAAACTGATCTCTTTTTCTTCCTCATAGGAGAGCCAGAGAGCAATGATCATGATTTAAATAAAATGATTAAAGAGACCACTATGATTTCAGGGATGAAATGATGACACTCCATCCAGTTCAGGAAGCTGGCAGCAAATTAAACATCATTATGTTAAAATAGAACAGTGTTGATTAACAGCTGACGCTTGACAGGGAAATTTCTAGAACTATGCCCATGTTCTGTTCTTTGCCAAGCTCTCATTAATCAGTTAGAGGAAATACAGTTTTTCAAGCATCTCTGTGGCATACAACTAGGAAGGAGACGTAATATCTGGGATAAAATCAAAAGTAAAAACTGATCTCACCCAACTAGAATGGTATTCTAAAACCAGTTGTATGAAACTTAAGAAATTTCAAATGTGAAGTATTTTATTTATATTTATGAAGCTGACTTAAATTGTATTTCAAAGATTTGAGGTAATCATAAGCATGTGAAGATGCAGTTGTATATTTGACGAAAGACTTAATTTTAGAAGCCATTAACAGTAGTATTAAGTGCAAAGTGAGGAAAAGCGTGAGCTCTCTGTGGACGATGTTGCTCCTATCACATCAGGGACATTCAGAGGACCATGGTCTACTGACACACTGACAGAATATAGTCAGGCTGGGATGGGGCCACAAAGTCTTACTGACTGAAGGGGCTGACAATCCACTTTTTTGGAGCGAGGGTTTGAACATTTTATAAGACTTTTATTTTAGCCTCAAAGTTAAGAATAGAAGGGAGATCATAGATTTGATGTACTATGCTAATTTCAAATCCACTCCAAAATCCATTAACTGACAATTTTTAAAATAGCCATTTCCCTATGTTATGTTCTTCCACTCCCTGGCTGTCTCAATACTTCATTCTCAGGTTTTATAGTTGTGCCATATTCCCTCCCATCTCCAGACTTCCAATCATACTGTTCTATTTTCTGGATGGCTCCTCTTTTCTTCAAAAATGATTTTTGTGGTTCCTCTGCCATCAGTCAGCCTCTCTTCCTTTTGGGTGTCAGAGCCCACCTGTCCTTCTCCACTCCAAGTTCACTGGTTTTGAGAAGATGGGTTGGATCTGGTCCTCATGTATTAATCTTTTCACTTTACTGGACTGAAGAAAGGAGACCTCATTGTCATTGCTGCTGCCACCACCACTCTACTCTTTGGTTTTACTGAAATTCAAAGATGGTCTAGGATCCTAACTCACTGTCAGAACATGGAAGTGAAGCAGAGTTTTCTGGAGTTAAAGATGCCTCCTGAAAGCCTACAGAATCCGCAGCCTTGGGAGATCCACTGGATGTAACATAAATGGGGCCCTTGGGATTGTGCAACAGTGGGCATTCACTTACTCCTTTTGGGGTTTGAAACTTCTACAAATTATCTTGACAGCATGATGGCAGAACTTTGCTTAGGAAAGAGAGTTGGGAAGAAAGAGCACAGAATAGGGAAACACACAGAAAGTGTGAGATGGAGATCTGGTTCTAGCCAGGCATTCTTGAATGTGATTTAATTCTCTAAACTTTCCTCTTATGAGAATTGATACTTCCTCCTTCTATTTCTAAAAATAATAAAAATAAAAATAAAAAGTCTGTTTGAGTTTTGGGTTCTGTTTCTGTAATCATGACTCCTCATTGCTATAAAAGCTGACCTTTATCCTTATCCATTTTGGGAGATTCAATATTAACTAACACTCCAGTTAAGGAGGAGGCTTTGCAATGTTATCCTTCCCTGGACATGTTTACCACTGCAGTGGTGTAACCTTCTATGAAGTTTCTTCACATCTGTCTTTCCTTAGAGATGTAGGTTGTGCTCCTGCTTCCTCCCCACCCCACTGGTGACAAACCTATGGCATCCATGTTGTTTTAATTTTGAGATAAAAGATGATACTATATGAGTTGCTTTTTCTAAACTGAAACCTTGCATTTGGGTTTATTTGCAATGTTGGCACTTTCCAATAAATAAGTGGGTTTTGGGTTGGAGTTTGGACACTTGTCTCCCAAAGGGTTGCCATCACAGTCCTCGATATTCCACAACACACAACATTTTCTGAAGGATACTGTCATATGATACGAAAGAGTGGTAACCCATACACAGAAGGATGTGTTTTCTGGTGAAGTAAAGTGAATTTTCTGGGGCCAAAGGATGGAATTATGGGAAGGTAGGTCTCTATTTATAAACATTGTCTTAGTTACTTTTGTCACTGCCGAGACAAAATACTAGACACCCACAAATTAAAGAAGAAAAGGTTTACTTTAGCTCAGAGTCCTTAGTTCCCTGGCTCCAAAGCAAGGTAGCACAGCAGAGAGGTATGGCAGATGAGAAATAATTCACCCAGAGCAGGAAGCAAGCTGTGAGTAACAGCAAAGCAGCACCAGCAAGTCTCCATTTACTTTCCATCCTAGCCAGGGTACAAGCCTTTTGGATGGTGCCAACCACAACCAGGGTGAAGCATCTAATTAGCCAGAGCTATGCTAAACCAATCAATGGACTAATATAGTTATCATACTTGTAATGCATCTTCACACACCTTTAATATGTATTCACATACCCTAGGTCCAGCCTCCCCCAAAAGCCCCACCGATAAGCACATGAGGTTTTGGGGACATTTAGATATAAGCCATAAAAAACAGAGCCCTGTCTAATGACAAAAACTTTCAAAATAGAAAAATTTCCCTCCCCTTCGCTTCCCTTCACACATATAAGATAACAAGGTTTTAGTTACCATTAAAGAAGAAAATAAATGTCCCTTGGATCAACGAATGATTAGGCTGAGTAATTAGAATTCTTATAAGTAACTTTTAATTTTTATTTTAAAGACATGATCACGGAGAACTAGAGACTTCTAGATTCAAATAAAAGATAAGGTCCAATGTTTAAAAAACAGAATATATAAGAACAAAAGGATTTCTAGTCTCCAAGCAATTCAAGGAAGAACAGTGGATCTACTTTTCATCTGTAATTAAAGTACCATCTCCATCTTCCCTTTTATCTGCTTCTGCCCTTCCTACCCATCTATGTATACTCAAGGCTTACACAAACCTTACAGAACTGATAGTACCACCAAATGATAGCCCTGACTCTCCTAAGAGTGGCCCATCAGAACATACCCCATTTTGACTTTTCTCCCTTATCCCTGACCCTTAACAAGACTGACACTAATAAACTCACCTGGGCCCTCCAGAGCTCATCTCGCTCCTGGGCCACTCGCCAGTGGGTGTCGCCCATCATGGCGATGAACAGATTGAGCATGAGCAACGTGGCAATGATAGCAAAGGTAGCATAGGTGATGCTGTACATGAAGGGCAGATCAACGCTGTAGTTGGCAGGGCCATCGATGATGGTGAGGAAGAGCTCAAAGGTGCTGAACAGTGCTGTGGGATAGTTAGAGAACTCCCCCAGACTGGATGGATCCTCTGTCTGGAAGATGATAAAGAATGCTGCTCCACCCAGGAACAGGGCATGGAGATGAGGAAACAGAGATATCACCATAAGCATGAGCCTGGTTAACACCCATTCCACCTGTTTTGCATCTTCTCTCTTTCTTTATCACTCTATCTATCTATCTATCTATCTATCTATGCATTTACACACATGTCTACGTGATTGCAAACTCACAACTAGAGTTACTTGTAGAACCAACACTAAGATTTCTTATTACTAATTTGATTATGATGGGTAATCACAGTTAACATTCAGCCATTTATGAAAAAAAATATGTGTGTACATGTATATGCATAAGATGTCACCTAATAGGTTCTTACATTTTTGGAAACCAAATTTTTGAAAAATAAATTATTAAAATTATGCATGAAACCTTCAAAGCAGAGCACATATAAAGCATAAAAGAATTTGTTCCATCTTCATCTTGATGCCCTCTAGATAGCCATTCAGCAGGCTGAGCTTTCCAAGGTGACCCTGGACCATCACTATCCCTGATGAATTACCCTTCCTTAATATGTAGCCTACTGGATGCTTTTTGGTACTCGCAAACTAAGAACAAACCCTAGATCATTTACATGGCTTCTCTTTCAATGGGGAACTAAATAAGAGTAGAAATAAGGTCTAATACAAAGAACTACCTTCTTATTTAAGAAAAAATTGAGGAGAATGATCAAGAAATGACCATTTAGGGGATTCCAAGTACAAGACGTGCAGGAAATCATGCTGTTGTCCTTGCTTTGTATGGTAATCTGTATATGTGCAGAAACAGTTGGAGAGGAGAGGAAGAGGAAGGGTACATGGTACTCAGAGGAGCGGAATATTCCAGAAAAATCACTACAGTTTTACCCTTTCATACAATAGATCTTGCATTGAACAAGGATATTTCTGGAGATAGTGTAATACTATGTAATACATCACAGTCCTTTCGAATTAGAAGTGCCTTTGAAGCCTACATCCAGGGAATGAGCAGCGTCAGAGACTGAGGACTGAGTGAGAGTCGCTGCCATCTTCCACCTCCCAGAACTCTCCTGTACTCTTCCACACCCTCACAACACCCCCTGGTTCTCTCTGTCTGTCCCCTCCTGTGTCACTCTTTCTTTTGCTCCCTGGCACTCTGCTGTACCTTGACTGAGTCACTGACTGTTCCGGTTGTTTTGGTCTCTTTTTGCCACTCTTCGTCTTCTGTTTTCCTGTCCTGCTCAAACTCTTCCAATTTTTCCCATACATCTTTTTTTCTAACATTTTCAGTTTTGTCCTCAGCTTTAAATGAACACATACAGAAAGAAGGCACATTCTATATTCTGTATGCTTCTTTATTTTTACTGTAAACAGGAGATTTGAACTAGTAAACATTGAATTGTCCTTGTTTGCTCATGTAATTTTGTAACCTTCTCAACTGGCCCATCCTTCTTGTTTACTATCTCCATCTCCACAAAAGTTTTTCTCAACCTCCCCATTAAAGGTCTTTCAGGGAAGGTGGTCAGTGAATGTCATTGCCTCAGAATACACAAGGCTACCTTCTAGACCAAACTGGATGGTCCCAAGTCAAGGGTTAAAGATTACTTTCTAACAAGAAATGACAAAAATAGAGTGTAGATGAGAACTGAGAGCTATAGTATAATTAAGTCTTCCTAAGACCTGGATCCAATGTCTTGGATGTAGGCATAGTGCTCCTACCTGAGGCAAATCCCAGGATGACCGTAGCCATCAGCCAACAGAAACGCATTAGGTCTCCAAAAATCATCTACAGAAAATAGAGATTAGGACGAAGGATAAGACGGTCTTTTTCACCACTGTCTGAGCAGCTATTGCTGGTGACTCAGGAGGTCCTTGTAGTCCCACCAGCTCCCTCCTGAGCAGCTGCCCCTCTTTGCACTTGTCCCGATCCCTCTACCTGGGAAGGTCGGGGGCTGATCAGAGGGAGGTTTGGGAAAGCACTCACCTTCTGGATCATAATGGTGAAGGGGCCCAGCATCTGGAGTCCTCGAGCAAAGTACATGACACTGCACCAACCCAGCACCAGGGCGAAGGACAGGGGCACCACCTCCCCCTGCACATTGGTGAGCCGCATTGCCATGGTCACCAGCACAAGAGAGGCATAGCTGATGCTGGGGGGATGAAAGAAGTAAAGAGTGAGAGGTGGCTGGGGACATTCTAGATCCTCGATAGCAGGGTGTTGACTTGCATGTTACCCACTCACTCAGACTTAGTCTCAACACCTAAGGCACACATATGGCCACAGACACAAGCCTACTGGAGATAAATCCTGGAGTAAGGGCCATGTGAACTCCAGATGCCTGAGAAGAACTGGAGTTTTGAAGGAGGAGATACTCACATGATGACATGGAATGGGCCCCCAAGGACCGTCTGTCCAAAATATCGAGACGCACCCACCCTGAGTATGTCTGGGATCTGGAGAAAGGCCAGTAAAATGCAAAGACAACGTAAATTGCACTTCATTCAAAGTTCTGCCATAATACCCACAGCCCGAAGTCCCTGCTTCTCACCTCTACAAGCAGGATAATCACAGCTCCAGTGACAGACACTAACTCCCCTGACAACCGTATGTAGTCCTGGTAAGTCACATATGCCTCCTATGGAAGGAAATTGAGGACAAGAAATCTTTCTGATTGGTCAAATCCTGCGATCTAAAGCTGTCAAGCTCTATGAACAATAAAGAAACCCCTGCCCACCATCATCAACATCACTCATGTTTCAGTTGTTATTGTCCTTACTCTTATCACAATATGTGTCCAAAATTTAAGGTTAGATGTCAACGGCCATCTAGCAATCACTTCCTCTCTATACACTGTGAGCATCAGTTGATGATATGTGTGTACTGAGTGGCAGTGAACACATTTCAAAGCACCAAGTTAAGAAAGCCAAAGGAACAAGAGTTTTTAGGGTCTTGGGATGGTTTCAGCTTTGGGGAAACCCAGCTGCTCCCATCTGACTATAGCTTGCACTTCGCAGAACACTCTGTAAATGTATCTTACAATTCAGGATCCAGTGTAGACTCAGAATGTAACATCCCTAATGAGACCCATGGACCCACCATTGAAGATTTCTGAGCCTGAGATTTATCACCTATAAAATGGTATTTTAATGCTGCCTCCCAGAGTTACTGTGGGGAGCAACTTGTTTATATATTTGGTTGAACTCTGTAATCCATAAAGTGCCATAAGTACATTCATTTTCATTTTAATGTGATATGGCAGTACAGAGTCGGGTGGTAATGCACTGGAAAAACTGTCTGGAAACGAGTTCTCTGGAAGCTTCCCTGCCTATTCTGAACAGTAGATGGAGAAGGTAACAGTATCAGGGTCCAGGTGAGGAGACGACACCCCACTTCAGTGCATGTTACCTCAGAGTCATGTCCTTCAGCATTGAAAAGATATAGTGATCCAATTCTACATTAATAATCCTTTACCTTTTTGAAGTCACAAACCCACTTGAGATTTAAGAAAGACAACAAACACTTAGTTTGGAAAATATGTTCAACAGTAAACACTTCCCAGAGGAAATGGTCTGAAAATAATTCCAATATTTAGGCAGTTATGCTGCTCTGAAGTTATTATTTTTTCATTTGTTTTAGCAAATCGCATTGGACTCTCTTTCTCCTGTCCTGAAATTGAGTTCACGGACTGTGCTTTTTTTCTTTGTCATAGTCTTTGCATCTGCCATCTCCTTCTTAGACTCACATGGTACGAGAATAATAATACATTAATTTTAGGATAACTTTCAATCTGGAAATAACTGATTCTATGTCACATATGTGTCTGTACAAAGTAGTTGAATTAATTTAACCACTTTTTATCTTGGTCGAGTACGTATGGAAAACTGTAATCCTTTCAACTAAGAAAAGGAATTATATGCAGAATGCAGCCAAGATACTTGGGAAGACCAAAGCGCCCCTATGGGCCAGCGAGGTGATGGCAGGTGGTCATGTAACGCCTGTTACAGAGCCCATTGTGGACAGTGCAGGTCCGCAGACTCTCCCTTTGTGGCTTTCCAGCACCAGCAGCTCTTTGTTCATTTCACAGATCTCGTCACAGAGAGGTGTCCCCAGCACATGCTCGCCAACGAGTGGCTGAGGTTTCCAGACAGTGCAAGCTTTTGCCTCAGCTCTGCTGGGCTCTGCCCTGGAGTAGCTGCCTGAAGACTTGTGCCTGGGGTCCTTCCCCAAATTAGCCTCGAGGTGAGAGTCTCCTTCCTGCTGAGCTACTAGACCAGTGCTTGGAACTTTTAGGTAGTATTTTATATGACTTTTATAAAATCACTCTTTGGAAAACAAAATAATATACGGTGTGTGTGAAAATCTTGCCATAAAAACATTGAATTAGGGTATTTAAGTAAGTTGGTTTTGTTGTGATTTTAAAAGGAACTGTGATGTTTCATGTTAATATATCATGTTGCCTCTTGGTTTAGAATAGCTAGTCTTTGTGGAAGTAAAAAAAAAATTAGTGTTTTAAAAATGGAAGGTGGCACTGAATTACATTGATTGCTTTTTTGATATTCTGAAAGTTATAATAATGATTCTGCGTAATCATCCTGACACCCCTAAAATTAAATCCTAAACCCACACAAGTAATGAATTTTTAGAATTGCATTATTTGGGGATCTTCTAAAATGTATGTATCCTCCCAGCACTTCTCTATTTTCTGCCTGTGCAGCTGCCTATGGCTCACAGGGCAAACATGCAGCTCAGATGGTTGTGGTTCTCTAAACCCTTATTCTAGCACAAGTTCTCAGGGAAACATCCAAACTTGATTAGCAAATAGAGATATTAGCATGTGATTTTAACAGTGTGGGGGCGAGATCAAAACTGGAAGGCTTTGGGAAGTAAAAACTGGTTGTCCCAGGGAATGAGACATGGGTTGGAAGGAGCCACAGTCCAGGAGGCGATGGTTGCTCCTCCTTAGATTTGTCATTTGATTTTTAAATCTTGTGCTTATATTGTTTTCATTAAAAATATTCCTTATGAGATAAGAATAAGAAAACACAGCTCAGATTACAAATTTGATGCACGAAACCCTCACTGCTTGGACCTCTGTCCCACATCTTTACATCTTGTGTGAGTAGTGCCTGCACTGAGCTTTGAGGGTGTTGTTGAAGTAAGCCTGCAGGCAGGGTGAGCCCTTTCCTTAGAGCACCTTCTGCCATCTCATCTGTCTCCCTCTCACCCTTCATTATGCTTTGAGAGTCAAGACAGACCAACATCCTAGTGGGTCTGCTTGCCTGTCCCTCTGCACCCAGCTCAGGATTCTCTCTTGTAGCCCCCTTGCTCCTCATTCAGCACACAGCAAGTGTATGTGTACCCCATGTCTCTCCAGCAATCTTAAGGTTCCCTGACATGGACATCTCACATCTACTTTTTATTCACAGTGCACAACATGATGGTGCATACCCAGAGTACAGAAAGAAGGAAGGAAGGAAGGAAGGAAGGAAAGAAGGAAGGAAGGAAGGAAGGAAGGAAGGAAGGAAGGAAGGAAGGAGCAGGGAAACAGCAGATTCAAACTGAGTATGATCTGAGAGTTATAAAAGGGAGGTAAAAGAGACAATCAACAAGTGGGAATAGGAAAATCTATTTGGAAGCAAAAGGAGAAATACGCAACTCATTGGGCTTTTCTGAGATTTCCAGATTCCTAGTTTAGGCCTGGCTAATACAAAAAAATACTCTACCAATTCCTTTAATAATAAATGTCTTCCAACAATGACAGGCTTTTTTTTACATTACCACATGGCTTAGAATTTAAGAAGTTGTCAATAACCAGATCCCCTGCAAAGGTTGAGCTTATTGCAGCTTTTTGAGAAGCTGCACTAAAGGAATTGCTTGTATTTACCTACCAGTGAGCTGTGCTCAATCAGAAACTTGCCCAAGGACTGGGCATTACTGGTTTGGAGGAGCTACTCTTCAGGAAGAATGAGAGTATGGGCTAACCTGGCTAGGGAGTAAATGGCACCAGCACCAGTTGCCAAATGCAACCCAGACCTTTATCTCCCCCAAACTTCCAACTTTGCAAAGGAATAAATCCAAATAAAGGACTCCATAAACACTTACTAAAGATTTCCTCTGCCCTGGGCCCTGGGTTCTTAAGCAGGGCTGCCCATCATTATTAACTGGCAAGTTCTTGTCACAACACACATGTTCGAGCCAGCCCCAGGATAGATTGGAGCAACTGTTTGTATTTCTAAAACAGCTCTGTAGACCTGGCTGCCTCAGAAGTTTTCTTGGCTTCCCAGAGGAACCTCAGCCCTGATATAAGCTCAGTTAACACCTCATCCTTTTTCTTAACACAGGGAAAGATGATGTTAATAACTAGAAAATTACACTAACATATCTATTTATACCCTCATCTTATTTAATGTAAATGAACTATAAATTCTGAAGCCAGGGCCCTATCTACATTGTATTTTCCTCAGACTGTGTTTGAATTCCTAACACCTAGAATCAATGGTGGTAACTGTTTTTTCTTTACTAAATTAATGAATTGGTGAAATTTTTCTAAGAAAAAAAGGGGCAAAGGAGAGTTTGTGGGAATCTTTTCTTAGAAACACAAAGGATATGTGATGATGGAAGATTAATACCCTCATGCCAGAAACCTAAATGACCAGAGCAGTGGTACAGAACTACAAAATCTGGGTTGAACAGATCTGAAAGACAGAATCAGAAAGTTCTCAGTCCTAAAGAAGGCAATCCAGAAGGGCAGATACCTTACAACTGTGGGGGAGACAGACACCTTCTGCTGTGGGCCAGGCCTCAAGACAAAAGATCAAGCAAATATACTCACATCCTAAATAGTTCTCTTTTATCCTGAAGGAGCCTGGAGTCATCATCCAAAACCTCTATGGGAGAGTCACTGCTCTGTATGCATGCTTGCTTGCTACATGACTTGCTTTCCCATTTGTTCTTGATTTAATGAATTTTACCTGAGCAATTCATCTTACTGGTTGACCATAGTTCTGTCCCACCTTATGCCCAGCTTGAGAGTTCTCATGTTTTCCCCACCTTGGATCTTTCTCACATTGTGGTTTTACTCTATTAAAGACCCTAGAAAAGACAGACCCTTTGGCAGCAAGTCTTTCTTTCTCTCAATACATATATTCTGCTCTTAACTTTCATTGCTCCTAAATTTCACTCTTCTGTTTTAAAGAACACAAAACCCTACCAGACATAGTAGGTTGGGAGTATCATTTCCCTATATCAATAAGGCCTGGGATATTGGTATAGAAGCTGTTCTTTTTTGAAAATCAGTTTCCTAGGGTTCTGACATGCAGTCTTGCTTAAAAGTCATAGATCTCACAGAAGCTAAGATTTGCCTGAAGTCAGACAGCTATTTCACTTCTGGCTTAGTGCTAAAATCTGGTTAGTGCTAAAATCCAAGTCACTTGGTTTTAGACTGAACCTTCCAATTATCAGGGAACCTAAGGGAACTGGAACCCCAGTGCAGATGCTCTACCCACATGAAGCAGAAATGAAACAGAGGAGCAAATTAATTATAGTGAATAGAGTTCTTAGAAAACTCCAGAAAAGTATAAGTTTTATGGCTAAATGATGACTCATTTTAGAGTCATTGAAATATCACTAAAATTGGCTAAACTAATATTTGCATAGGTCAGGCTTTGAGATGTTTGTACTGCCTCATGTAAATAGAAGAGTTTATTTTTTCTAATTTTACATGTTTTGACATGTTGCTGCCAAGCTGCTCTCAGAACTCCCAGTTAACAGCAGGGATATCCAGAGTCAGATTTGGGGCCAGTGATTCTGCAGATCCTAAATGATGGCAGAGGAAAACTAGAATTCCCCAAAGTCCAGTGCTTCAAGGTTTACTAATATAACTGGCTATTTAAAGATTCATTTATCTAAGAAACAGCTCTACAGGCTAATTGAATAACAATTGCATTCATTCAGTCTAGGCACTATATTTATGCATTTTCATATTTCTAACACTTTTCAGGAGTAAAACAGTAGGGAAAAAGAGAGTTTCCTATCAATTAAAATTTTTGTGCAGTTTTTCAAATCGTGATGATAAATTTGCAAGCCCCGATCTAATCCAAACTGACTCACTACTGCATGAAAGGATCACAGATCTTCCCAACACTTAGGGCCGAGCATCAGAGGATAAGACCAAAGAGTAAGGACCTTTCAGTGATGTTCTTTGCCGTCTAAACCTCTTACAGCTGCATTCTTCAGCCTTTACTCCCTTTTCTCCAAGAAAGGAATATTTAATTGAAGAGTCTCCTATTTGGTCTAAAGCAGCTTTAACTTAAGCAAAAATGAAATCAGAAAATGGTAAGGAAGAATAAGGAAGCAATGAGAGAGAGAGAAAGAGACAGAAACAGAGACAGAGACAGAGATGCACAGGTACACTTAGCTATAATTATGCTTCACTTTGTCCAGTAGTGGCAAACCTACGCCATTTGTGCAGCCTCTGATGGTTTGTATCAGTGAGAACCCTGGAAAGTTTGCCATACTGCCCCATTCCTTAGGAAAGAGGAGGTGGGTGTCTCTTAAATATAATTTGACTATCTGTGCCAAAGGAACAAGTACATACTTTAATAATTCCTGTCCCAAAGGGAAAGTGGCACACAGAAGGAGACGTATGGTCATTAACTTCTCAGAACCATACAAGTCTTAGACCAGAACACTCCCCACACAGTATATGCATGAAGTCTCCAAGGAAGTGGGAGACAAAGTAACGCTGAGACAGAACACACCTGGTGAAATGTAGCCAGATCTGTGGGGTAAATCCAGACATTTTCAACTCGTTCACAGTATGCGATTTTCCCATTTTACTATTTCCCATTTTACTGTATTGTTTGGCCATCTCCTAAATGTCCTTATGTGATATCCATAAAACTTCCACATTCAGGCTTTGGTTTAGGAATACATCTCCTGCAAAGCAACCTGTGTATGTCTCTAACACACTCACACTATCTTATCTTAGCAGTCAACCTCACTTGTCATCCAGGAATTGCTAAGCATACTATGTCTCTCTCTCTGTCTCTCTGTCTCTCTGTGTCTCTTTCACTCTGTCTCTGTCTCTCTCTCTCTCTCTATCTCTCTCTCTGAAGCATAACTTTCATGGCTGAATATGGGGCATCTTAGAGTTACAATATCTTTGCATGAGGCAAACATTCCATCCTCACATAAGTCATCATTTGTATACTTTGTGTTACTCATATAAATAGAGTATTAATACATACATGTATGGAGGAGGGAGAGAAGAAAATGGGAGAGATGAATTATCTTTGTATTTTTACCCCCCTTTAAGTTATTTGTCTTACTCTTTCTCTGTTGATGCTACAGCTTTTGGTCTAATTTAGTTCAGGGATTTTGTTTCTTGACTGTATGAATTTTATCTTTTCCTTTTGATCCAACTTCCCCTTTTCTCATTCCATGCTGATCTATTCCTATTACTCCTCTATCCCACAAAGAGCCAACATCTTCAATCATCCAGCTCTTGTTGGTTTTGAAAATTCTTTCCCAGTGCTCTCTTTTGGTCTATTTTTCACCACATAGGGGCAAAAATCTTGGTAACTTCTGAATCAATCCCTCACATAGCTATACTAGCTAAATTCATATGCCCAAAGTACTCAAAAGTTTGTTCTGTTATATACAAAGGAAGACTTGCTTTCACCAAGAGTAGAGTTTTACATCTACTGCATTCCCCTAATCAGTCATCAGCTCAGGTTTTCAGGCTCACAACAGTAAGAAGATTTTAGAGATTAGTGAATATATCCTGCTATCAGCCCAATCATCCTTCTATTTGCTTTCCAGATGATGCATTACTACCAAAGAACTCATACTTACAGAAGGGCTGTCTGTGTTGCCCTAGCAGACCAGATGTGAACTGGGAATATAATTTTCCTCTCTTAGAACAATAAGTTTTCTTTGAACAATCATCATAAGCAGCTGGTCTTGTTTGTAAATTATAAGAAATGTAACAAATATATGTGACTACTAATCCCAAGTTCTCTATCAAAATGTCTGTGCAAAAATCCATAGCTCCCTGGATAGATGCTTTGCTATGGATGAAGCTCTGCCTCTGGCCTCCTCATCTCATCACCTGGTTATGGAGCCAGGCACTTCTGGAACCCCTGGGTGGACAGCAGCTGTCTAATCTGCAGCACCACCACCCTAGAGTACTATGCCTTCTAGGTCTTCTAAGAAGAGTTACCTGCAGTAGTTTCTGTTGGAGGATGGTGTTATCTCGAGAATGTGTGCGGTTGTCAGCTCGGAATTTGAGGGGGCGATAGACACAGCACATGGTGAAGCAGATCATGTAGAGGATGTACAAGGTACCCAGGATGCAGAAATAGGGCCGTCCGTATTTCCTCCACTTCAAGTTCACCAGCTCTTTCACTGGGGTCTGTTCTAGGATCTGGCGAGCCTGGCCACAAGGAGAGTGTAGCTTGGGGTGATCCACAGAGTAAGGAGTACTGGGTCCCACTGGGTCCCAGAGGAGGAGGCCAGTAACCATCATTTCCATTAATCATTCATTTAGTTCAATTAGACAATTCAAACTTTATGCTAATACTCCAGATAAACTACTACAGAAGTAAATGTAAGATATCATAGTGCTACTGTATTTCTTTCTTTGAAACTAAATCACTGTGTTTTAAGACAAAAGTAGTTATTAGTTAAATGAATGGAGAATTAAAGATCATCTCACGGGGCTGGGGATTTAGCTCAGCTGCATAAGCACCTGCCTTGCAAGCAGGCGGTTATAAGTTCGATCCCCGGTACCGATAAAAAAAAAAATGCTCAGTTAAAGATCATCTCACAAAGAATCAGAAGTTCCCAGGGAAGGAAGGTATGAGAAGCCACTGACCACTTGCAAATGAGTAGTTGGCAATGTGTGAGAATATGTTGGAATTTGTGAACCAAAATTACTACGATGGACAGAGCAAGTTAGAGCTGTACCATTGTGCCTCGAGAGTGCCACGGTAGGGAGACTGAATTAGTTTTTCCTGAATGAAATGCAAAGCAATTGGAAAATCCAAGCAGAAAAGTAATTCAGTTTGCTCTAAATGTCCTGTTTGACTGAAGAAAATTTGTTAGAGCACTTAGTAGATTGAGGGAATGGTTTAACTCTGATTTAAGTAGATAGTAAGAAGTTCAGATACAAAGAAGATGACAGATGGGATGGTGCATCTGAGAAATTAAGAAAAGGCAGCTTCAAAATATCTCTGGCCCATCCAAGCCAAGGGGACTCTACTGCCATTTTGCTCTCTCTGCACATAACACAGGCATAACTGTGTTATCATTCATTTTGTACTATACTGAACTCATTGAGCACTGGCACCATAGTTGGCTTGTAAACAGCAGGCAGTGTGATAGACAGGTGTTCAATATGCTGAAGAAAGGAATCAAGCAAGGAAGAAAGGAAGAAAGAAATAAAAGAAGGAATGAAGGAAAGAAATGCCTATTAGGAGAATTTATCATCTGAAATGTTAGAATGAGAAAAATAAATAGAAAGGACTGAGTTGCCCAGAGGGAAAGTGTAGTCAGGAGGTAAGTACACACTTGGATTTTCCCTGTATCTCTTTGGGACTGGTCTCATCTCCACCTAATCTAACACTGAGAGATTCTGGGGCCCAGGATATCTGCTGGAGACTGGGCTCTCTACAGACCCTAAGTTGCTTCCCCATGGGTCTGTGACTCCTTGACAGCCATACCTCTCGCTTCTTAGAAGAGACCACAAGCTCTAGAAAGGACAGCTCCTCTCCCCAGGAGTCGATCTCCGTGAGGTCATAGAGAGTGGATGTTAGGGGCCCACATGACCACTGAATGCGCTTCCGCTTCTGCATCAGGTGTTGGAACATCTGAAAAGGGAACAGGGGTGAAAAGAAGGTCACTGTGTGGAAAGCTGGTCCAGGACAATCATCCTGTGGACCAGGCCAGGAGCCCACTCTTGGGGCCAACCAAGACAATATGGAATTGTTGATCTTCTGTTTACATGAAACTTTTCCTTCCTTTGATTGTCATATTTATAGACACAAACCCCATTAAGCTCTGCAGGAAAGGTATAGTTGAATGAACCAAGACATTGGGTTGCTATGGAAGATATTCCCCACAATGAAGCACTTAGGACTCCTGAATGAGGGAAGATGAGGCTAAAGAATTTGGTGACGGAGTGGGAAGTCATTGTCACCTCCCTCTTAAGGAATGTAAGCAGAAAGGTCCTCAGGGAGACTCCCGAGGGCTGGGGGAGCCCCTTACCACGGTATTGCCCTCCACTCCAGCCATCTTGAAGGGGGTGAGGCCCTGGTGGTTGGGAATGAGCTCCAGAGACTGAAGGTGGTCCCCTCCATCATAGGACAGCAGCAGGTTGTACATTTGGCAGGCGAAGGTTTTGTTGGGCTGCAGGATGAGGATGTGCAGCACTGTGTTCCCTGGGGAGGGCAGGTTCTCATGTGGTCATTGATGTGATATCCTTGATGACTACATTCCCACCCTGTCCTCCACTCCCCCCTGAACCACCTGTACCATGCCAGTATCCACACCCATCTAGCTCCTACCCAGGGAGTCCTGGGCCCGGATATCAGCTCCGTGCTCTATGAGCAGTCGCACGATCTCCTCACTGCCCACACAGGCTGCAAAAGACAGAGGGTGCTCCCCTGGGACACAGAAGGGTCAGTGGCAGGAGACAGAGGGTGACAGGATGAGGGGGTGGTATCCCCCAGATGACTGCCTCCTCCTCCCTACACCCAGGCTGGGAGTTGGAAACACTTGTCCAACAGAACCAGATGAGAGGACAGTGTAGAGCTTGTGGGAGCATGGCCACTGGCCTTCAGTTCTGTAAGGACTGCTTCATCCCAAGATAGTCCACCTTAGCCATCCCCAGGGTCACCTTTCTCTTCTCCTCCTCCTCTTTCTTTCTGGCCTGACCCTGGCACTCACCATAGTAGATAAGGTTATGGGGGTTATGTTGGAAGGCAAGGCCTGTAGCCCTTGCAGAGACGCTGGCCCCATGGGAGAGCAGTGCACGCACCAGGTTCACATTCTGGTTCATGACAGCGATGTGCAGGGCAGTCTGACCTGAACAGAGAAAGCCGTCATCCTGAGTCTGTCACCTGCCCAGTTCCTGCAATAGCACAGTGAACCCACCCCCTGAATCCTAGCAGAAACTCCCTGGTAGTCCTCTGCCCAGAGCTCCACAGAATGGCCAGGGACTGAGGACCACTGTTCCCTGCCCAGGTGATTGTCCTCACACCTCCACTATTTGGAGCCAAGGGTCTTGCTATCAGTCATTCTACTGTCCCTCTAGGAGAAAGACATGGAGATATGTCATCCTCAGGAATCAGGCAAAGATTGGAAGGAAATACGAACAGCATAAGGAAATCATGGATGCTCAAGGTATAAAGCAGGACTACCAACTCATGGGAGCCTTTCCATCCTGACTCTGTGTTATTCCACCAAGCCTACCCTTCCCAGACTCACATGAAAAAGTGGCAGCAGTCCCTCCCATACCCAGTGAGGGTTACCATTCAGCAATCTCACCTACAAATGGCTCACACAGGGTGGGCTCCATGACCAAGCTAGGGGCGGCCTCCATCAGCAGTGTAGCAGCCTCCAGGTTGTCATAAAGGGCTGCTACGTGCAGCGCCATCTCTCCCAGGGCTCCTAGAATGGAGTAGCAAAAGAATACAAGGTACTTTCCATAGTCACTCAGGGAAGGGCTGCCTGGGCTAGAGATACCTCCAAGCCCATCCTTCTGAAATCCACCTCGTCCTAGGTAGGAGAAACAATTCCTTCCGCCTCACCTCTTTTAAATTACACTCTGCTCTCACCTTTTTGTCGAAAGTCACAGCGTTGATCCTGCAGAAGTCTCTTAAGGGTACACAGGTCATTTTCCTTGGCTGCCTGAAGCAGTGGAGACTCCAGTATCCTGGGAAAGGTGAACAGAGGTCAGACAGAGACTCTCACAGAGTAGCCATAAGCCAAAAGCACCAGAAGTGTCAGACTGAGAGAGATAAGACTTTCACAAATTGTGTAGAAAGAAACCAGCTTTGTCATTTTTTAGTGCCAAGGCTCCAGAGACTCATGGGAAACTTGGGTTTAGGCAGGTCTCAGGGGTTCCCTGGCTTTCCCCATGATTGTTATCATGCTAATTCCTCCCATGCAGGCAGAGCCAGCCTGGTAGCCCTGTGACTCTGATGAGTAGGTATTGTCGATTGGTGGTCAACTTAAAGACCAGCTGAACTGAATCAGCATGGTGCTGAGCACAGATGGCCCACCTGAGGACTGTTGCAGCAAAAAAGGAGAACTGGAGAGGAAAAGTAGCATTGTGGGTTCTCCTAAGCGTTGCTGTTGTTTCGAGCCATTGGTTCTCCTGAAGGAGCTTGTCATGCTGGCTCTTTTGATATGAACTCAGCTATTATCCTCAGAGGAGCTCAGGACCTTGTCACTGAGAATGGCTGTAGTTCACTTTGGGGAAGCTCTGGTCCTTACTTTGAGCATTGCTTCCTGATTCCAGAGGGGAAGGTGTTTAATCTCCAGAAGTTTGTCGCACTAGTTTCCTGATACGTACTCAGCTGTTCTCATCATCAGAGGAGCTGAGAAGCTCACTGTCACTGAGGAAGGCTGTGGCACTTTTCAGGGAAGTCCTGGTCCTTATTTTGAGTGTTGCTTCTTGGCTCTAGTACTGCTGGCACAGACTCTTCACTCTGTTGGCATAGACTTCTTAGCTTCCACCACTGACCTTTGGGCCTTCCCAATATAAATCCATAGGATAGACTTGCAGGGGTCATTGTTGTGGGATCTAGGTTTTCAGTTGAATTCATGAAGGTTCTTGCCATAGAATCCAGGACCTAGACTGGATTTTTTAGGTCTTTAGCATTGTGGACAGATTTCCTGTACTTTCTTTGTATTTGACTCCTTGGTGACCATAACTTATGTGTCTTGTGTGTAATTTTTCTCCTTGAAACCCCTGAATACAACAAAATTTGTACTGGGAGTGAGTCTCAAAACCACACAGACTTATGTCTATTGTAGTTTTGATTGATTGTGTCAACTTGAGACATTTAGAAGCTTAACTAAATTTGCTTAGCAATTCTATACCCTAGGGTGTAGAAGACCCACCATCGGCTGGCTCATCTGGATGATATAAAAAGAAATGAGGAAGGACAGATTTTCAGAGGAGCTCCAGTCTTTGTTTTCAGCTTGGACATTGCAGGCTGGTTTGTAGTGCAGGATTTTCAGCTTCTGCCTTGGATTCTTCAGATGTCCAGCTTAGATTCTTCAGCCTTCCACCGCAGACCCATTAGCACAGACTTTCATGTGACACTGCAGTAAACTCCAGACCTTGGACTCCAGACCTTCAGCCTCCAGCGTGCAGATACCCTCTGCACGTTTCCACATCCAGCTCTGTGGCTGATCATTGTAAGCCAGTCTTGTCATTTCTCATACATTTATACATTTTGTGTTGTATCTGTTTTCTCTGGTAAAACCCTGACTAACACAGCAAGATACTTAATAGGAGGATCCATTCCTGATTGAGAGGGCCCAATTCAGGACACGTGGTGAGGCTTTCACTGCAAAGAAGTCCTCATTGTGGACCACTTGGTGTTTCAGGATCTTAGGGAGGGGATAGAGAGAAGGAGGGGACATTATGAGCACCTCAGGCTCCTAGGTCTATAAAATCTGCTCTATGTATCCAGTGAGAGTTCAGAGATTGGAACAGTGGCTGGGGATTTAGCTCAGCAGCACAAGCACTTGTCTGACAAGTACAAGGTCAGGAGTTCAATCCCTGGTACAAACAAAAAATAAAATTGCTTGGAACAGTGGAGGTAGCCCTGGCTAGCTGACAGAATTTAGAAAACCTGTAGATCTCCGAGCTACTTAGCCTCCATGTGCTCTTTGGGGCTGCTAGATCTGAAGAGTGTGGGGTGTGCTATGGGCCCCATGTCTATTCTGGACTTTAACCTTAGCTGTAAGGTTCTAAGCACTATTGATAACCGAGAAGGATCAGTAGTGGGCTTCTGAGGGCTGCGGTCATCCCATAGGTCCTCTGCAGGTTAATCTTTGCCTCTGCCTCTGCTGAGATCCTAACAGAGTAGGAGATAAAGCTGAAGCCTCTCTTGCTAAACAGACAGCGTTGTCCCCAAAGTAAACACAGGATTTGGTAAATTGAGGGTCATGAGACACTGCTGAACAGACAGGCAGACACGATGAGTGGTACCCCTGATGTCCAGTCCCTCACATTTCTCATTTCAGTCAGCAGAGGCCAGTGAGCAGTTTTCTAGCTGAGGAAGCAAGTTTGTGTGCCCAGTAAGTCCCCTATTAGAGACCTGCAGGTCAACAATATGCCAGCCCTCAAGCCCACTGAACCCTGTGTCCCTGACCAGCCTGGAGTGGCCAGCACTGGATTCAGAGTTCAACCCCTGGTCAAAGCCCTTGTCTCTCTTACCCCCTTATCTCACTGACCCCTGCAGAGAGAAGGTCCAGAATCCAGCCCTGTTGAAGACTACCCTGGTCCCACTCTAATGCAGGTCAAAGTCCCATTGCAGGCGAGGATAGAGGCTACTGAGCAGGCAGCGCATCTACCAGGAGGAGAGCTCAGGGCACAACACGAATTCAGGACCCCCACTTAAGTTTATCTGGAATTTCAAGATAGAAATGGCAGGACACTGAGCCTTGCACACAGTGCTCTGAGGTGCAGTTGCTCAAGTTAGGCATGGCTGTCTGTTCTTCCCACCCCAGCCGGCTCCTGAGGAAAGGAGCTCCCTCACATTCAACCACAGAGGCTGCCCCTATGCACACTGCTCTCTCTGGGTCTGAACCTCAGGCCTGAGCCATGGTACGACCAACATTTGTTGGAGCAATCGCACCTGAACTGTCACTGCCCCTGGAGTTTCACATCCTCAGTACCTGAGACTCACAAGAGAAAGAACTGTACCCATAGTCTCAGCTACCTGAGAGACTGAAGTAAAAGGGATATAAATTCAAGCCCACCCTTGGAAACTTGGCAAGACCCTGTCTCAAAGTATAATATAGCATTGGCAATGTAGCTCAGCGATAGAGCAGCTGCTGAACTTGCAAGAAGACCTAAATTCCATTGCTAATATGGCAGAATAATAAAATAATTTTAAAAACAAATGCACAGAAAAAGAAAGAAAGAAGGAACAGACAAAACTGAATCTGGAACTCTTTCCTTGCCAGTCAGGTTACTCTCTCCAGCTGGTCACCTCCCGGTGTTACACTAACAAATTTCCCCTCCCCTTTTCCCAAGAAGTTTCATGCTCATGGTAACTCCTTGCTCTTTCTTCCACCAAGTCTTCTGAAGAAAGGGTGCTTCAAACCATGCAGGATCTGTCTCTTTCCCAAGCCACCTGCTCTCTAGCAATCTGATCTTGTCCGCCCTTCCAACCCTGCACAGCTGGGATCCTTTTCCAGTAGGAAGGCAGCTTCCAGCCTGTACTGTCACTCTGCCCCCTGTCTTTTCATAAGTACTCAAGATTTCCCCTGTTTTCCAATCCCAAATAACTAAAAGGAGGCCAGCTGTGCGCTGCAGCAGGTAAGCAGGAAGAGAAGGGGATATCTCAGAGACCAGCCCTGAGGTCCAGGATGCTATACGAGGGAGCCAGTCTATGGGTCACAAGGTTAGGGACTGGCACATGGGCCTGTCCTTGGCAGCCTACCTCTTCTGCTGCAGCATGTAGGCCTCATCCAGCTGCTGGTCACTGTCTTGCTCTCTGACCAGCCAGGAGCTTAGGAGTTTCTGGAACTGGATCCAAGGTCCTTTAGCCCCCATGTATCTTGCAGGAACTGGGAGGTGACTGGAAGCTGATAAAAGGAGCAGGTGGAGAAGGTAGCAACTGAGAAGAAGCCGGATCTGCTAGATCAGGCTCTGGGTGATTATAACTCTCCTTGATATTTGTGCAATGTAGATTATGCAGAGTGATCGTGTTGAGGGACTGGCCATCCAGCAGAGGGAGAAGCACTTTTTCTGGAAGGGGAGGTGCTCTTTATAGAGCACAGCCTGGGAGCACAGGGCTTCAGGAGGAGAGAGGGAAAGGGAGGGGCCTCCTGGTTTCCTGGTAGTGGGCTGGGAGCCCGTGATTGATGGGGGAAGGCTGAGGGTGGGCAGAGGAATTTGGAGAGGGAGCAAGGACAAAAGTGTGTCCCTCACACAAGGAGTACCGGACAGTAGGAAGTCAGACCTCCAGCTCAGGAACCAGGCCCATCCTGGTTTAATTAACCCTGATTGTTTACCCTTACAAAATCAGCTGAGAGCTCTGCATCCTGGTTTCCCAATCTCTCAAATGGGAGTAATAATTACACCATTCCATCGAAGTGAATGTAAAGTGTGACTTGTTTTAAGACCTCACCATCTGTAGATTCTCCTGCCATAGATGGGCTCAGAACCCCCAGTAGTTGTTTCTCTGAGCCTCACAGTTTGACCTCAGCCTTTCAGTTACCTCTGTCTGCCACCCAAAGCCTGTCACAGAATCCAGCTCAAATGAGTGTCTGGTTCTCCCCTCCCAAGGCTACACTTTCTGTAAGGGGATCTCACCCCTTGCCAGGTTCTGAATCTAAGCAGAGCCCACTCTCAGGTACCTGGAGATGCAGATCCCAGGAAACCCCCAAGAGGCCCTTGAGTACCCATGAGGCTGAGCAGCAGAAATTGAGCAGAAGTAGAGGATAACGAAATCTTGAAATTTTTTCCAGGAATGAGACAAAGAGTAATGAGTGAAGAGAAGAACATTATGTCATTTTATTGTATGACAACTTATCATTCTGACTGTTTGCAAAACAGTCAATACTATTGAATTACACCAATACTATTGAATTACAGTTGTTGGATGAATCTGTGAGGTCAGTGGCAACAGTGCCATCATTCTTCATGTGCTGAAAGGAAAGGTACAGCGAGGGTGAGCAATTGACCAAAATTCCTGGGCTGTAGGCAAAATTGAAACTGAATTGAAAGTTCCTGTAGTTCCTGGCTTCCAGTAAGTCCCTTTCCAGACCTCACTGTTACTTGGGAAACTTCTGGGCATAAGGTTGTGAGAGACTTGGGTAAGGATATTCTTGGGACCCTCCCTTTGGGCAAGAGGCGTTTGGGAGCTGGAGCCTGCCTCCTGCTGTTGTTTTAAGAAAGAAAACAGTGCCCCAAAGATTGGGAATAGACAAACCTCTAGAGAAGGACAAGAACTGAAAGGGAAATAAACAAGGAAAGGAAAAGGAGGTATCCGAAACAGGGAGGATTAATGGTCTCACCTAGCCAGTGGGGAGGGGTCACCTTGTGGGAAATGTTTCTGCCTCCCAGGGGGTTGGGACTGTGTGGGTGGTAATGGTCCCTGAAGTCTAGAGACTTCCAGTCTAAGGAAACGTTGAAGCGCAGGAGCGATAAGGTTAAGATGGGGGTTGTAGATGTACTGATAAGTAGGGGGCAGGCCAGGAAAGGAGCACTGGACCAATAAAGCTAATCCTCCAGGGGGTGGGGGTGGGGAGGGGTGGCAGAAAGGGAACAGCCTGGTCACAGCTGCATAGAGAAGGTTTACAGGGGGTCGCCATACAAGGGCATTGGCCACAAGTCTGAGTTGGAGGAAAGGGGGACCCATTCTTCTGGCTCCCACCCATGGATCTTCAGTCTCTCCTGTGTCTTTTCCCACCCTCAGTGTCCTCTGCAAAGCGAGGGGCATGGACCTGTAGCCTGGGTGGGATATAGGCAGTCCTATCTGTCCCAGCTCGTAGACCAGAGGTTTGCAACTCCCCTCCTCTCTCCTCAGTTTTCCTTTCCTCAGCTCACCTTGATGACAGCTTACACTGACAACCTGTCTTCCTTCTGGTTCCTCTCCTTCTGCCTCCCCTACTAAAGTTCTACCTACTGGACCTCTCCCTCCAAGGAAGCCTTAGAGCCGGTGCAGCCAGAATGTCTTCCAGGCGTGAAGCTGGGGGCTCCTTGCTCCACCATCAGGTCTTAGGAGCAGCACAACAAAACAATCTGACCACTGCATTCCTTTTTGTTGAAGAGGGACGGAAACACACTTGTATTTCAATTTTTAGGGTATGCACTGTCACCCCCAACTACCCTTGGACATCTAGGCAAGGGATCCAAACAATGATGGTGATTTTCTTTGCCATTTTAAAATATTTTTCTCTATTTTGTACTTTTGCAATAAGACAAAAATTTTGAGGAACTGCTGTTTTCCTGCATGGATTCACATCTTTGGTCACTAGGACTCAGGAAGCTGCAAGGCAGGGAAATGGAAGTGATGGAGGTCAGTACAACCCCATTTTGTCAGTGTCAGCTGCACTTCCCGCAGCTGCCCTCTCCATTCATATCTGCAGAGCTCAAGGTGGCTTCCTTTATGCCAGGGAAATGAGAGGCTCCTTGCACAAAACAGCTAAGAGCAGATTAAAGACTGTGTTTTTTCTATTCATGCATCTTTCTCTGCATCTGCAGGTCAGTGGGTGCAAGACAGGGGTGAACAGGGTCAGTGCCTACTTGAAACTTTCCTCCCTATCAAGTACCCTTCTGTACCAACCCCCAGTGCTCTGCCACCTGCTTGGATCACCAGGAAGTATATGAAAGCCAGTGCCTGCTGTATTCAGGCACATCTGTGAGTGTAACATCCCTCCAAAATCCCACCGTGTACTTCCTTTCTGCAGTTCCCTCTTGCAGGGAGAATGCATGTTTCTGCACCCTCTGGGCCGTGCATGGATATTCCACAGACAGCAACAGAGTGTGAGCAAGAGGGCTGAGGGTAGGAAAGGGGAAGAACAGGAGCAGTGAATGTGCAGAATGGCTCCTTCCTGGGGCAGACACACACCTCCGTCTCTATGCACTTCGTATGCATGTCTCTCCTGGCTTTGTCTCTGCGTCTCTCTTTTCTTTCTTCTCTATCTCTGTGTCTGTCCCTTCAGCTCCTCATCTCTCTGTCACAACCTCTACCTGTGACTGTCTCTCTCATGCACACACACACACAGCTTTCTCACTCTCTCTCTCAAATCCATCCCACTCTGATTCCATCAGACTCAAGGTTCATGTTAAGCACCAGGCAAGCCCAGTACATGAGGATCCTAGTTGCTGCCTCAGGTCTGGGACTGCTCCCTGTAAGCCTCTCTCTTCAGAGAAAGTCTGCATGGAATACTGGGAAGCTGCCATCTTTATATACAAAAGTCCAAATTTCAGGTCCCACTTTGCCTGTTGGCAGTCCTATGGTCTTTAGTGAGAGAATCATTCTTCTGTGAAGCTCATCTGAATAATGGGTAGAGAGTGCTATTATTTTGGAGGACTGGTGGCACTGGAGTATATGTGACAATAGGGATGACCCACTTTGGCCATCCTAGAAGCCTTTGCCATCCCCTGATGGCTCCCTCCACCCTCCTGTCTGGTCATGGAATGCTCTAGTGAGCTGGAATGAGTCAGACCTGTGGCTATGATGTCACAAAGCACATGAAGTAAGAGGTTTCATGGAAAAGAAGAGACCAAGAAGATACTGGGCAGGGGTAAGGGCTGGGACACAGAGCAGGCAAGACCCTGCTGGGCACTCGGGGCAGGGGCAGGAGGTGTGGGGGGTGGGCAGCCCCATGACTTCCCTGGGCTCCCAGCCCCACAGGGCAGCATTCCTGGCTACCATCCTGCTGCTGCTGCTGCTGCTGCTGCTGCTGAAGGTGGAGGTGGTAAACACTGAGCAGGGAAGCCCAGGCCCAGGGGAGAAGAGCCTAGAAGGGAAGATGCCTCCTGCAGGTAGGTGAGGAGGTGGAGGCCAGTCTGGAAGAAAGGGCTCACCAATCTGAGATCAGGCTCTAGGGAGGGTGATCTGGGGAGGGTGGCTCTCAGGTGGGTCTGGGCTATGGCAGACCATGCCAGGTCCCTGATATCATGGAGTGACATGAGGGCATCATGTGAGTAGATCTGGAGCAGAAGTTCCTCACCAGGGAACAGCACAGGCCAGCTGCAGGTGCATGAAGCTCCTGTGTGCATGAGCACGTGTGTTTGCTCGGGGGGAGGGCTGTGGTTTTCGTCACACTGGAAGGTGGGGTCACACTCTGGAGGAAGCAGCATTACACTGTGTGTGTGCATGCATGCGTGTGTGTGTGTGTGTGTGTGTGTGTGTGTGTGTGTGTGTGTGCAGGGTGTTTGAGTCAGGTTGTGCTTGAACCCAGGTCAGAAGAGATCTCTGGATAGAGCACCACCTCTCTGGTCAAAGCCAAGTCCATGGCAAGTGGACTGAATGCCCTTGGCCTTTCCATGTCCTGATTTCTTCCACAATCTGGTTCAGGGTCGGCATAGGCACAGATCAGGGTCAGGCCCTCCCTTCCCTGCCCTTTTCTCCTGTCCCAGAGCAGGGCCAAGAGCTGTATGAAGAGCACTTCATGGCCTCCTCCGTGGGTGAGCAGTGGCAGGAGGTGGACATGGCCCAGCAAGAGGATGACATCACCTCGGAAACAGCAGGTATCCAAGACTACCTTTTTGATCTCGCTTTCTGCTTTAACCTGGCCAGCATCATGCTTTTTTTATGAGAGACATTGAGGCTGAGGCCTTGGCCTGGCTCCTGGAAGAGGAAGACCTGGATATTTACCTTTGCTTCTTGATCACCTGCTGACCTCCTGTCTGCCCTGAGCTCCAGGTCACGGTCCCCCTAAAGGATGCCCATGCAGCCCCTGCACATCCTGCTCCTGCCCTTGTTAGCAGCACCTGTCCTTAGGGTGCAGCCTCAGTGTGCCCTTCTGCCTGATGCCACCACAGGCCACAGCTTTGTGTTCCAGGGCCAGAGACTTCAAACCCACGCCCTTATGCCTCTCTACCTCCTCTGCTTTTGTTCATTATAGCAGATTGGAGGGAGGAGCACCAACAATAAAACAATTGGGAGCACCTTTCTGGGACTTAACCAAGCCCTTGGGTCTCTAAGTGCAGTGTTTAATTGCGCAGCCTTTGACCTTCTGCCTGACCTTCAGACCCACCAACTCACCAGCCACTGATTCTCTCCTATTCTAAGGTTCAGGGAGTTCTTCTTGGCATTTCTCCCTCTGACCTTTTCTGACTCCTAGGGATAGAACATACTATGAAATCCATTACAAAACAGTAAAATCAAGTTCTGGGTTTTATTTTTGAAAGAGAAGACATGGCACTTTGATGTTCTTGACTCCAGGAATAGGGAACTGTGGACATACTCGTTTTGGATCTCTTGGTGGCCAAGTTACCATAGCTGGCAGCGTCTGGAGGGGTTCATGAGGGTACCATGTGAACAGCCAAAATATCTAGCAAAAGCAGGGATGCTGCTGAGGGGTCCATTTACTCGAAGGCTGGGGTGTCTGTGAATGTCCTGAGAGTCCTGGGGATTGGGCTCTCTACACATCGTCTGAGAAGAAGAGAGGCCAGGAGAGGGTAAAGAGCAAAGCCGATGCTGAGAGTTTACATATGGGGACAGGGGATTGGCAGGAGGAATAGACAAAGAGGGGAGCATGAATAGAATGGCCACAGCTCATGCAACCAGCGTTTGTCGTGTGCAGTTCATTTAATCTAACATTAGGAGTGTGGGGTAAGGTACCAGTTATAAGGGAAAGGGGTGGGTCTGATAGAACACTCCAGCAATGTCTCCAAGTCTGTTGAGGAACTGAGTGTCATGCCTGTTGATGGACCATGGGTACAGAAAAGGAACTATCAAGGTGGGGCCATTCCTGAGTACAAGATCTCTGAGGAGGAAAGAGGTATAGAGTCAGCCTCTTGAAGGCTTATTTTTAATGGATCTGGATCTCTAGGCCATGAAAGAAAAAAAAATGCTGGGCTGATTTCATAGTGGGACCTAGAATTAGCTTTTCCTTCTCTTGAGGGAAGGTGTTGAATTCAGTTAAGGGACCTGAAGTAATCTGAAAGATAGTTTCAGGAAACAAATGACCATAGATCACAATCCATGTGAGTGGGTTGGAGATTTGAAGGGAGTGTGCATCCAAGAGGAAAGTTCTTTAAGTGCTAGCCATAAGGTTCTCCTCTGAGGAGAAGTAAGCTGCAGAAGGAGCTGGCAGCTGCCTACCTGGGCATAGCTTTGGAAGAAGAGCTGCCGGGGGCTGAGGTGCTGGTTGGGCAGTGTGGTCTCCCCACGGTATTTTAATAGCCTCTCGTTGTACGCCTGCAGAGAATACAGCTGCTTTTAGCTTTCAGATTCATAGTCATAGTCATTGGGAAATCCAGTGCTTTCTACACAGCCTGTCAAATAAATTCATCGCCCCTCTTACCAGTTTTTCTCTGACATATTAGCCTAAGCCAGAAGAAGGAATTAGAAGCAGAACTAGAGATGGCCTAGAAAGTGGAGGATCTGTGGCATAGGAGGGTATATCCCCCACACTGCCATCTGATTGATGAGGATGTGAAAAAGGAGAGAATTTTGCACCTGTGCTCACCATGAGGTATGGTGTAAGGGATCTTGAGGACAAAGCTCAGGACAAAGCTAACAACAGGCATGGCTTTGGCATACCTGCAGTGCAATGGCCAGCCCTCCAACATCTGCAGCATTCTCCAAGAATGTTTGGGAGCCATTGAGGGAAGTTCTTCCAGGTAACAGGAGGGCAGCATAATGGTGCTCCAGACATAGGAGTGCTTCCTGCAGGGCATGCGTGTCACAGGCTGGGCAACCCCCTGGGAGTACTATGGAAAACAGAGAAAAAGAATCAAGTGGAAAGATGTCCTGGGGACCTGGTGGTCCTGTTGGCTGATTTGGCTTCCAGGAACACTGGAAATATCTGGGCACTCTTCCACCTGGAGCCTTTGAATTACCTTTCATTCCCCTCTAGGCCTCCTTTGAGGTCTTCTCTTAGGTCCCCTATGGTCCCACCTCCCAGTGGCCCCTGTTACTCACACAGCTGGTAGAAGATGTGCAGTACCTCACGGGCCATGATGCTGCCCATGGCACCAAAATTCACAGCTCTAGAAAAACAAGGGCTTGTCTTAGTCCCATAATCCTTCAATATTTTGACCGCCATTCTCCAACCACAATTTCCATCCATCATGCATAATTTGGAAATTCTCTGCATACTCTTTATAAAGGTCCATACCTGGGGTAGCCAGTGTGGAAGAATGGAGGTTGAAGGAGTCCAGCGGGAAAGACCACCACATGGTCAGGTATGGAATAATAGGGCTTGACTCCCCAGGGGGACACCTGCCATCTGCAGAAAAGTCATATAGGAACATGGTCTTATCATTTATTGTCCCCTATGACACACACACAGTCCTTTCCAACTATTACCTCTGCCATAGCTTCCTTTTTTATTGATATTAGATGGGTCATTTGGGAAGTGGAGTATCTGTGTCTCCCCTGCTCTCCTACCTGTGATGAGACAAAGGTTGCAAGAAGCTTTGGACATTTCTTGCCCGGAGAGATCGGACACAGCTTAGGAAAGACTGCAAGAAGCTAGGTCCAAGCTGTATCTAAAAAGGATGTAAAATATGTTGGTTAAAATCATCTGGGGAAAACAGAGAACTGAGAAGGACAGAAGGGAAGCTTAAAAAAGGCAGTCACCCACATCTTGGTACTCCTGCCTGGCCAACTCTGGTTTCAGAACCCAGTCCAGTGGCCCCATTTTCACCTGTAATTTAGTGACCTAGGGGAAGACATAAAAGGTGGTAAGAACCTAGACTTCCCACTATGTGTCTCTGCAGCACTGTGACTTCTGAAGTTGCTGCATGCACTTTGCCTGGTGTTGTCTCCATCTCTGTCTCTGCTCCAAGGGTCAATTCCACCACCACCCAGGCCTGCATTCACAGCTTACCCTGTCCTGGGCCTCTTTCCGGCTTTTCTCACTTATCCAGGGAAGCTTTTTGAGGCGTGCTATTAGGGCATCCTTGATCTCAGTGAATAATTTAATGGCCTGTAGGGTGAGGATGAGGGATTGGGACACAGAATCAGGACCTGTCTTCTTAGTCCTGGCCCTGCCTCTGCATCTAGCCCTCGGAAGGGACCTCATTCCTAAGATCTGCCAGGTTGAAGGAGCTGTCAGAGAGGGGGAAACCTCAGAAATACAGTGGGAAGGGCTGTTTCCCAGGGTGCCACCTCCTCCATGGTCCAAAGATCTCTGATGCTGGAAGGCAGGAGTCCCAGGCACAGAGAAGGTATAGACAGCTGGCTACCCTGAGGTCAACCAGAATGGTGGTCCCTAATATGTGGAAAACTCAACCTGATTGAGTCCTTATACATGGCAACAGGTAAATTGCACTGAAAATGGAGGAAGAAGAGGTCCATCATTGTTTTACCTGATTCTAGGGCTCTTGTCCTGGCACCTTACTTTCTAAGGCTTTCCAACATGTTAGGCTCCATGGGCTCCATGGCCTGTGTATGGTTCCTGCCTTCTCTTCTACCCACCACCTTGTGTCTATCAGTTCTGGGTGGAAGATATGAATGAAAATTTTCCAGCCTTAGACTGTCTGAGTTCACATCTGAATATTCTATTTTGTGGACACCTGACTTTGAACAAGTCATTGAATTCTCTGTGCCTTGGTTCTGTCTCCTACAGAACTAAAATGACGCTAATAGGGATGAAATGAAGTAGTCTCTGCAAGGTGCCTGCAAGAATCTCCAATGTGAGGCAGACACTAAGAATTCAGGATTATCAATTTGGCCTCCTTAAGACTATATCAAGCTATGTTCATATCACATCGGGCAGTGCTTAAAAATTTTAGTGAAACAAGGAATAGCCTTAGGGTCATGAAGTACAATTTTCTCATTTTATGAGTGAACAAACAAGAGCAAAAGAAAAAAATCCAAGCCAAAAAAGAAAAGAAAAGGGTGACTGGCCCAAATTAGTGTCTGTTGTAGATTCTTTGAGCTCTGTAGCTAAACTGTGCCCCACTGAGGGATGAAGCACGCTTTGGGATTTTCCCTCCAGGTGGTCTCTATCTGTTTCCTGACTCCCATACAGGTGCATCATCAAACAGGCAAGGGTGAGCAGGGTGGGAGGGTATGAGGAGTGGGCATGGGGAAGCTCTCACATACAGCATTCTGAGTGCTTGGTCCAAAGGCCTCCTTGACATACAAGGCTGCCAGAGTGGGCTTGAAGAAGGATCCAGTGTGTTCCACACACTTCTTCCATCGTGGATGGGCTGGCTGCAGAGACAAAGCTGGGTTGAGAGGCTCTGCCCAGGGCCCCTTCTTCACCACCTTTCCAAGCCAATCCTGCCTAGATCTTCCCTCCAGAGGGGCTTCATTTTCTGGACTTCCCATTTTATCTCCCTTTATTGGTCTCACCAGTGATATACACTGCTGCTCAACAGAAGGGACATTCATCCTCTTCCAGGACTAGTTTTTGGACTTGGCTGAGTGAATCATCCATGTTTACTGCCCAGTGATTTGAAGGCAAGCCCCCAGGAAGCATCCCTCTGGGAGAATAATGGCTTCTGGGGAGGAGGGAGGAAGAAACTAAACCTCTCTGTATAACAGGTCTGTTACAGTGCCTGCGCTCCCCTCAACACACCCTGTTACTGCAGTTAAGCCCTGCAGTAACTCCACCCTCCTCTCTCTTGCTCAGAACATAAATTGAAGACAGTCACTTTCGTTCAGTCACCTATGTCACATGTCAGCAAGTTTGTGCATCATATTTAGGGTCTTACTTTCCTGAGAAGAAAATCATTGTGAAAAGAAAATTTTTTGTGTCATAGTTACTTAGTAGGAGAAGAAGACAAAAACATACTGAATATATAATTCTGAGAGCTAGGAAATTTTCAGCCAAATCAAGGAAAGAAAACAAATTTAAAAGATGAAGCACTTTAACTTCAGAGGGGCAGAGCTGTAAGGCAGCAACTTGAGAGAAGTATTGACGTGCTTCTCTAACAGCAAGATGCAAAGAATAAAAATAGGGACAATAAGAAGATGCTGGGGCTGGTTTCTGAAGTGGTGATGCATGGCTTCAAAGAGTTAACTAAGGAATAAGTCCAAAACTGACACAGAGGCGATCCAGAAGCAAATTTAGCAGCTTGGAGAAAGGATTCAGGCAACTGCCCTGGCAGAGGGAGGCTGAAGTGGAACTTATGAAAAACAGCTAATTTGGGTTGGATGAGATGAAGCCAAAGACCTCATTGCTGTGATTTCTTTACTACTTATGCATCTGCTTGCAGGTAAGAAGGCTGCCACTACTTCTCACATCATTTTTGGGATTGTCTTAAAATTGGAGCTGGGCTAAGGAGTATTCATCCCACTAGAGGGAACAGAAAGATAGGTCATTATGGGGAAGAGGAGAGGAAACTCCCCAGCCAGCCTGTTGAGGAATTTATCATTTTCAAGATGGCTGAAGACCTGGCTTGCCAGGTTCACTGCTTTATTTCCCATGCCCCAAAGGTCTGCTCATGTCCTTTCTTACAAGAAAGGTTCACATCCTGTGGTGTGCCAGCCGAAGCTGTGCAACCTCAGCATGAGTGGCAAACGGAACATGGAGGGAAATCAGGATCTGATGGCTTGGTCAAGTGCAGGCTCGGTCAGCATCATTCCTGCTCCAGATAGGCTTGGCTCCATGAATGCTCCTCACTGGACTACAGCTATAAACGGGCCAGAAGCAACCTCACTTGATCTGAAATCTGTGCATCTGCCTGGTCCTTGCTGCTTGATTCCCTTTGCCAGTGCCTGATCACTTCTCCAACATCCTTCGCTAAAGGAGCTGGCTACTCAAAAATATAGCCATCTCTCAGACATAAGACTACCACCGCAGTCTCTTGCGACTTGGAGTAACAGACTGCAGCATGGTGACTGGAAACAGAAAAAGAGAGGGTAAAATGTTTCCAAATATAAGGGATGGAAGGAATGCTTCACATGGAAGACAGTGCAGCTCATTGAGTTAAGTTTAGGGCACTGAAAAAACTGCACATATAAATAAGATTATTCAGGAAAAGACAGAAATTAGGAAAAATTCCAAGAATCTGGTTGGAAGCAAAAAATTGGCCAGTCTTCAATAGGACTGAAGTAGCATTTGAAATGACAGGATAGTCAGGAATTATTAGTGTGAAAGTGTAAACTAAAAAGTAGAATGAATCATTAAAGGAATTTTTTAACACTTGGAAAATAATGTGTAATTATTAAGGGTCAGGGTGGGATTTCTGAGGACAAATAATGCCAAAACAATACAAACATACATGGTTAAAAGCCTCATCACACTGTGGCGTAAGACAGAGTAAAAACCACACATTGAAATTGAAATGATACAAGCATATAACTGAGAGCAGTGTCCAGCACTGAAAGCCCAGGGCCTGTCAGGACCACAGATAGCTTCAAAGTTCAGCCAGTCAAACTGAACTGTGACACTTAAGGAAACACAAGTTGTCACTGGAGAAGGCTGCCCAATGTGACAGCAATCTACGTGCAGGCACACAGAGACATACACATAGGCTGAAAATCTGATATAAATGTGTCATCTCCTAATGTTTGAATTTGGCAATTAATTCAGAGTTTGTAAATTATTCTGAAAGCCAATAAAATACACCAGTGGTCTACTGATTTACTAGGGTCAACAATACACTACCGGAACAAAGTGTCCAGCATGTATGACTTGTGGGTTATTTTCTTATGCCACTCTGCTCCAGCTAGAATAGCAATGAAAAAGAGAAAAATATCTCATGTCTGCCTCACAGATCTGAGCATCCGGTGAAATAGTACCTTGAAAGTACTGTGTCTATTCTAAATTCCACTAGCTTTACTCTGCCTACCCTACAGGCAGTAATCTGATATCTAGATTTCAGGAAGGAACCTGGTAGGACCCCAGATTAATTCTTGGTGAACCAGATAGAGAGGTCAAGGTTGAATGACAGAGTAAGAATGGACTTTTGTCTGACTGAACCACTAGTCAGCAATGATGAATGACTCAGAGTCCAGGACTTCCTACTGAGAACCACAACTACCCCCCTCTCGCATTCCCTTTCTTAATTTGCTATTTTCCCTAACACCACTCAGCATGACTTTTAATTTTCTTTCTTCCTGCACTGGAGTATAAATGACTGAAAGCAAGAATACTTACCTGTTTTGTTCACTGGTGAATACTAAGTGCTTATAGAAAATCTGGCAAGTACTAAGTATTCAAAATAATTTATTGCATAAATGAATGGATAAATCTAAAGCTAAGTTGTCAATTACCTGACCCTGTTCCATTCCCCTCCGGGAACATAACAGCAGTAGTCTCCACAAAGCTACAAATGCCCCAAAGTTGAACAAGAAAAGAAATATAACGCATTGTTGAAACAAAGACTTAAAATTTCTGAGTAAATAGGAGGGTGAGTCTTAATATAAATGCCTCATTTTGACAGTTATACAGGCAAAGTCTTACTTTTATGTCCCCAAATCCAGCTTCTAAAGTTTCATAAAAGAAAGCCATAATTTTCCAATCATTTTCATTGATTATAAGTACCACAGATTAGATGATAGGAGTTGGAAGGCTTTTAGTGACACTATAAATTGGAATTCCTTCTGAACAATGTGTTTAGAAGTTTGTAATTAATGACCATTGAGTAGAAGGGATTAGATCTCTGGGTTTATTTTTTTAAAAAATGCCTTCCTTTTTCTAGACTTAGCTACTTTTCTACCTGCTTCAAAGAGATCTCACTGACACTTGGACTCTCCGTTCCTACTCTCTCTTTGAGACCCCAACATTATGCAGTATGTAAACCAGAACTCACTAAGAACATAGCTATGCTTTTGGCTATAAGACTTAGATCCACTAGTAGTATCACAAACCAAATAAAACATTAAGGCAACTTTTTTCCTGCCTTACCCTTTGTAAGAAGATAAGTTAACTCTTTTTTATAGCATTCACATATTTTTCAGTCCTACAGTGTGTGATTAAGAGCACAGCCTCATGAACCAAATAGAACTACCCTGGGGTCCATTTCTCCCTTTATAAGCAATTTATCTTGGGGATGTTATTTGGTCATTCTGTGTCTAATTTTGCATTTGCAAAACTAGAGACAAAGTCCTCAGAGAGTTTATAGGGGAAAGGGTTAAGACAATCTATGCTAAATGTTACACACAGTCCATGACAGTAGCAATTCAATATGTATGAGCCAATGCCACCATTATTTATTTTGGGCTGTTGTTGCAGAAAAGTAAGATGACCTTCCCAAAGTCATATCTGTATTTGTTGCCAGAGTTTGATTCAGTTTTTAAACCCAAGGATAATTATATTCCCCTTTGGAAAGCATGGTGATCTCAGTACTTGTAAGCCTTTTACAATCTTTAGCTATGAATCACAGCACTGGCATTGACATTCTCCAAGACATGATGTCAGGCTATGGTGCAGGGATTTACAGGAAGTTGTTTGTTGCCAGGAAATTTTAAGTAATCCCACAAAGAAGAGGGAGATTCTGTTCTCTTATGTCTGAATCAAGAGGCAAGCTGGGCAAGAGCTTCCTGGGTAGCCCTAAAGAGTGCTGTGGCACAATGAGTAAACACACAGGCCCTGTAGCCAAGGGGCCAGGATTCTAGGGTTACTCTAACAACTCACTTGCCTTATTACCATGGCCAAAATCCTTAACTGTCCATTTATTTCTTATCTTTTAAAGAAAGATTAAATCATACCTATGCTGCCTTATGGAATTTAGAAGATTTTCTCAAATAGCAGATGAAAGGTTTCAAGAAAATGCCTAGTACATTTTAAGCTCTTGATACACAATAAATGTATTCCAGTCTCTGTGAATGCATTTGCCCTCTCTGAATTCCATAGATATTTCAGGTTTCTTCAAGGCATAGAAATGATTTTTAGAAATGATTTTGAAGACTAAACTAAGGTTTTCCCTGAGGTTGGGAATATATCCAAACTACTAACCATCTCCACTAGTATTTGGGTATATTTGACCTAGGATTTCAAGGTTCTCAGTAAAGCATTATCTCTGCCTATGCGGGCATGGTGTAGACTCTGGTTTCTGAAGTTTTTCCTACACAGTCCCTTCCTTAAGCATATTAATTGATGAACCATTAAACCCGCAAACGACTCGATTGATTGCATCAGATCATAGTTGTACTTTTTGTAAAGCACATTTGAATTCGAGTATGTAGGATAGAAAATCATATTACTGAGCTTTTGTTGGATCATTGAACAGAACTGTCTACAATGTCACTGTATGAATGTCCACTTTATATGCTTTAATTTTGTAATTTGGACAACTGTGTCTGGGAAGATAATATGTAACCTATTAACTGGTGATTTCTTACTGTATATTTTTTTCTTAAAATTCTCTATTACTTGTACCCTTTTACTGCTTTATTTGTTCATGTCCTTTCTTTTTTTCTCTTTAAATTAAAAAAAAACTTGGGACCATTGTTTAGCGTGTCTGTGTCTCACAAAGAAATCCTTTGATAAAATCCAGAATTCATATTTAAAGAAAATATATATAGAAGCTCTTATCTCAATCTGATAGAAAGCATTTATGACAAACTTACTACCAACATAAGATTAAATAAAAAAAAATCTAAAAGCTTTTCCTCTAAAGTCAGTAACAAGACAAGAATGTCCATTATCACTACTCCTGTTCAATATGGTACTCAAAACATTAACCTGAGCAATCAGGCAGGAGAAAGAAATAAAAAAAATATGCATTAGAAAGGAAGAAGTCAAATTATTTACTGATGATGTGATCCTCTACATAGAAGACTCATAAATTTCCACCAAAAGACTCCTAAAATTAATAACTGAGTTCATCAGCATAGCAAGAGACAAAATCAATACCCAAAAACCAATAGTGTTTTTGCACACCGATCATGAAATTACCAAGACAGAATTAAATGTCTCAGAACTGATCTAACCAAGGAAGCAAAAAGACTTGAAAACAACAAAAAAGATTTTTAAACAACATTATAAAAAATGACACAGAATCAGAAAATAGATTTCCCCTGTTCCTGGATAGGCAAGATAAACATTAGCAGCATAGCCACACTCCCCAAAATGATAAATGGTTTTAATGAAACTATGATCAATTGGAAATAGAGAAGAAAATTTAAAGTTCACATGAAACCAGATCTAGGGGGAGAAAAAGCAATCTTGGCTAACAAGAACACAGCAGGAGATACCAAAATCCCAGATTTTGACTTATACTGTAAAGGACCATGATAATAATTGCATGGTTCACACACAAAAACAGACATGTGGATCAGTGAAATAGAATAGAGGATACAGAAACAATCTCATTCAGCCATCATATCTTTGACAAAAGAGCCAAAAACATACACTACAAGAAAGATAGCATTTTACCAAATAGTGCAAAAGATTGAATGTAGACTAATACCTCTCATCACGTGTTAAAGTAAAATAAAACTGGATCAAAAGTCTAAATGTTAAAACAGAAACTCCTAATCAGCTGGAAGACAAAATAGATGAAACTACTGAAGATACAGGCATCAGCAAGACTTTCTGAACAGAACCCTAATGGCATAAGAAATAGTACAAAAAATCAACAAACGGAGCAGTATCCAATGAAAAGCCTACACAGGAAGAGGAAAAATCAAGAGTAGAGAGACACCATACAGAATGAGAAATAAATTTTTCCTGCTATCTCTAGGACAGAGGACTAATATCTAGAGTACACAAAGACCTCAAAAAACTAGACCACTCCAAATACAACAAGCAAAAAATGGGAAACAAATGAATAAACACTACTCAGAAGAAGAAATACAGCCAACAAATACATGAAATAATGTTCAATATCACTGGTTACTACTGAGATTTCATCTCATTCCAGAGAGAATGGCTATCATCAAGAAATCTAATAAAAAAAACATGGGGAAAACTGTGGGGAAAAGGAATCCTTCTACATTATTAGTTGGAATGTGAACTAGTATAACCACTATGGAAATCAGTATGGAAACTTATCAAAAAACTAAAAGCAGAAATTTCCAGCTATTCCACTTCTAGGTATCTTCTTAAAGAGGTAAAGACATAGTATTACAGCACTACTGGCATACTCATGGGAGAGTGGGGGAAGGTGATGAAAAAGAATTAAGAAGTGTTATTTGTACCAACTCCCCATGATGAATGTAGCCAACATGCACTGCTAACATGTATTAATAAAAAAAATTTGTCCCTCATTCAGTAGATTCTAAACTCTTGGTCCAGGTCTTCAAACCATGTTAGCAAACAGTTTCAGACTGATGGGACGGCAAGAGAAAGCCTTGATAGTTTCAGATTTATAGGAAGGTTAGAGAGGTGACCAGGAGATATGCCCCTGAAGGCCTGGTTCCTGGTAGTTCCACTCTCGGGTTAAATTCTGTATTCCTTCCTGCCTACCTCTATGCAAAGCATAGGCACAAAGGGACCTCTACTTTCCTGCCTGTTCCCTGATAAAGATATGCAGGTATTTGCCCAATCTTGAAAGCATATCTCTCCTCACCATGAGTGGTTGCTCTGTGAGTTTCTGCAGTTTCTGGCTCAGTTCTCTGCGTGCTTCCCGGAATTTGCTATCCAGGGCTGGAGTAAGGGTCTCCACCAGCCCCAAGATCATGTGACTCTGAAGAACATCCCTGAGGAGACAAAACACATCCCCATAAATCCCAGACTTCTGAGGATTCTCTTCCTAAAGACTTCTTTTTTATAAGTCAACCACCTTGATATTCCAGGGGCAACTCCTTTTCCATATCTATAAAGAATAATGGTCATGACACACACTCATGAAGAGCATTTTTTAATGTGGATTGAGAAATGAGAGAGGAGGCAGCTGGGTAAAGGAGTGGCCTTCTCATGTCACAGAAAAGAACTGGGGCTAAAGGAAGGCTGGATTCAGATCAAACACAACAGATTAATCTATTTCTACAATCAAGAAACCTCTGTTCATGAGAGGATGCATTCCCTAGGCAACACAAAGCTGGGCTCTGTGACTGCTCTCTTTCTTGTTGGCAGCTCTCTGCCCAGGTGCCCTCATGTCCACATACATTTTCCTTTGCCTCCTTCAAACAGGCTATCCAGATGTAGCTGCTACTAGCTACTATGATGAAGGACCTTGATGGGCTTTAGTCCTTAGCAGGAAACTACTGCCTCCAAGTGATGATCATGCAGCCATCAGGGAGTCCAGAGAGATGCCATAGAACCTGACTTTCATTTCCCCAACTCCCCTTGACTTTCTGGTAACAGAGGAAATGATCTTAGAAATTCTTTCCCACGGGGGTGCAGTGTCCCCTCACCACAACTGAGAAATGGCCTTTCCCAGCTCTTTTCTCTGAGAACATCCCCAGGCCCCACCTCCTTCAATTCCTTATCTCAAGGGTCTCTTGAACTTGTCAACAGCCCTCAGTTGTCCCACTGACTGGGCCTTCTAGTACATTCTATAGCACAGAAGCTCTTTACAGGCTGACATTCTACTGCCCAGAGATGTTGTGTCTTGTCTGACCCCTGTGTCCTTCCCTGTGGCATCTGTTCCCACCATCCACCCACTTTGCACACAGGGGTACCAGGTCCCTTGACTCAGGGTATCATGGTTCCTGGGACCTATGGATCCCCAGATTCGCTCTCCATCCCATTGCCTCTCAATGTCACTTGGGACAAACCTGTGCTTCAGCATCTCTTCTTGTATCAGTTGCGACATATTTCTCAAATAGTCCAGGTCATGGACCACAAGTGCCTGGGAGGGGCTCAGGGACATTGGTTTGAATGTCTCTTGCAAGCAGGATAACCAGTCGATGGCGGGGGCCATTTCCTTAGAGGAGAGACATAGAGCTGATAGAGAGAAGGAAACGAAGAAACAGAAGAGGAACAGGTTTCTTGGGCCTGAGAAAGAATGGGATGGGGGATTGTTGGGAAAGGGGCTGGAGCCAGAGAAAGGCAGAGATTAGAAATTAGGGTCCCAGGAAGAAGAGGTAAGGTAAGGGGCCTTGAGTTTCAAGAACCTGCAGTTGGTCAATCGTGAGCACATGGAAGAGTTTGTCCTGAGACTGCCGCTGCTCCAGGAGCCGCAGGTACTCAAACAGCCGTGATGTAATGGAGATGGATAGGAAGGCATGCTGCTGCACCTTCTCCGGGTCACCTCCCAGCAATATTCCCAGCTTCTGTAGGTAAGCCAGGTACTCCCGAATGACCTGGAGGAAGGTAACTTTGGTCACAGGAGCCACGCACCCTGCTTTTCTCCTGGTTTCACAAGGTTTTGTCAAATCATCTTACCTGGGCATAGATCTTCTGTTCCTGCTCTTGCTTGAGGGGAACTTCAAACTCTGGCCGATCTATCTGGATACAAGAGAGACTAGAAAGAAGTGGGGAGTATGGAGAAGTGGGGTTCAAGGGAAGGAAGTGTGACCTGGGAAGAAGGGAGAAGAGCTGCTGGTGAAAGAGAAGAGTCCAAAGCAAGGGAAGGAGCGACTGTGGGAGAGGGGCCAGGAAGAAAAGACCCAGACGTGGAAAGAGAAGCGACAGTGTCATGACAGTCAGTTTGGAGGTGCACAGAACAAGAGAAGCATGTTGATTGACATCTTGGAGGAACTCAAGGTTCATTTTTGGGTCAGGTCTAAAGGTGCAATTCCCATCTCAGGTACGATAACTAAGATAGATCCCACATTTTATTTTAGAAAATGCATATTATAATGTAGTATTTAAAATCAAAATTAATACAAAAATTCCATAGTGAATAAATTATCAAAGTTTTGTTTATTGTTATTTTCTCCATAGATTTCACACTGAGGATTGAACCCAGGGCCTCACACATGCTATTCAAGTGCTTTAGCACTGAGCTCCAACCCTTTCTTTCTAATTTTGAAAGAAGATTTCACTACATTGCCCTTGCTGGCCTCAAACTTCTAATTCTCTCACTGCAGCCTCTAGAGTAAGCCACCATACCCTGCCTCACATTTATATTTTTAATCTATTTTTAAAATTATATTTTTAAAGGTCCACAATAATTTTTCTACATTCTGGAAAACAAAAAGAAAAAAGCATTTTATTTTACATAACCTTCAGAATTGACAAAAATTTGCTATTTGCTCATCAGAAATTTTTATTAACTTTGCTTGGTGTTGAGGGCTCACTTGAATTTTTCCCAAGCAAGAACCCCACACACTTCCCTTTACTTCTATCCCAGTGTGCCCTGATAGCTGAAGACCTTTGAGTCACAGCACTTTGTCTCCCTCGGTATCAATATCTCACCCCAAACTTGAGTTATACACTTTTTCTCTATGATACAAAACCATTATTCGGCCTTTTTGAGACACTTGGTGTCTCAATTTGGACACTAAACTCCACATAGTCTGTGTCCGTGGCTGCAATCGCGTTTACACTGTGCCCAGGTTTCCACTGGTGCCTTCTCATTCCGTATTCTCATTCCATCATCTCTGGAAGCAACAACGACTTCTCCTTCTTGAGGATCCTCCCTTTCTTTTTGCATTCCCACCCAGTCTGGTCAATTCCCACCTCCCCGACTGGCCTTACATCTCTGTTTCTCCCTTCTTTCCCAGACCTCCTGCTGCAGCTCATTTTCTCACTACATTCTTCCTAAAGAGCACATCTAGACTCCATTTGGCCCTCACCACTTTCCTCTTTACAGCAAATCAAGGCTGTGGAGTCGTTTGGTGACTCCTGAATCTTGTTTATTTATGTTCAGTCACCATGCCCTCTGGAAATACCCAGGACCTCTACCACCAGGATGAAGCTGCCTAAATCATCCTGCCTGGCGCTTACTTTATCTTCTGACTTCTATTCCAGAACCTTAAAGTGCTCATCTAGAATCCACATCATCTTCAGATTGACTGCTGTGCTGCTGAGTGTTCCGAAGCACTACATACACTACCAGATCATAACAGATCAAAGACCTCCGTAGCTCCTTAGTTTTAGTACATCAATAGTTATCACCTCTAACTGGCTTCTCAGACCAGTATTAATCAGGTCTAAATCAGTCTTATTTTTCCCCTACAGTACCCTACTGTACCCCCAGAGCAGTCTTCTCACATTCCCAAGTTTTCAGAGAATCACAAATCCTTCTCTTAGCTCTGAATTGTCCCAAAGCCCTTTTAATGAGAAAATGAACCATGCTTCGAGACTCAGCTCACACACTTCTCTTTGAGATTTTTCTTAACCAGGTCAGATGTTAAGCTATCTCCAGAGGCTGTGTCCATTAAACGCCTAAACATATTTTAAAATGCAATTTTAGAATACTCTTATAGAGTAGTCTCCAACTGGCGATGATAAGACATTTTAAAATATTCATCATCTCATCATGTGGAATTTTTGACAGTGTAGGCCAAATGTATAGCCATACACTGAGTGATGACTCCACTGTTTACTCAACAAACATCTGTTTATTTGTTCAATAAACTCTAGCCACCTGAGGAGCTGAAACTCCAGCTCCTGAAGAAGAGGGTACCTACAGGCTAGAGGAGCTCTAGCTGGCTGAGGAGGAGGAACTCTTCCCAATGAGAAGTCCCAATGAGAAGCAACCCAGCTGCCTAAGGACAAAGAACTATCACTGCCTGAGGAGGATCTCTAATTGCTAGAGGAGGATCTCCAGCTTTCTGAGGAAGGAGGACTTTAGCGGCCTGTTCTAAGGAGGCCCACAGTTTTAATGCTGAGAAAAAGAGGAATTGGGAGAGAGACAGGTTTTACCTACTTATAGCTAGTAGATAGATGATGATTTCCAGGAAGTGATGCTCAAAGCAACAACTGTAAACATGTCAGAGTTTTCTAGGCTGAGTGTAGGGGGTTGCTATAAGCATATGAGAATTATAGAGGGATATTATTGGAGCTACATATGAGTCAGCAGAGCAAGAAAGGAGGAATGAGGTAGGAGATAAGGCTGGAGCATATATAGAAAACAAATCACAAAAAATTAAAATACTTTGCTAAATACTGGAACCTTAGCAGGATGAGACCTGATGATCCACAAAAATGGGAGGCATTTAAAATGAAAAAAAAAATAGTATAATTAGCTCTTGGTTTGGAAAAGGGATTACTGGATGAATGAAGAAGAAATAAGAGATGTGAAATCATGAGGATGAGAGGACTAGCTAAGAGGTCTGGGAGAAACCCAGAGCAGCCATAAGGAAGGCTGTAACTACTCCGGTTTCCCAGAATTGTCACTGTTTCTCCTCCTCTCACCCCTTACATGGTCTTCTTGGATCTCATAGCAATAATTTCCTCCAAAGATAAGACTGTTTTTCATCTTTCTCCTATGTGTCTTATCTCCCCAGTGTACTATATTCCTTTAAGAAAAGGTATCCTAAAGGTAGAAGCAAGATCAGGTCCAAATGTTTTTGCGAGTGGATCTCTCACCTGGATCACTGGGGCGTATGGAGGGGAAGGGTGAGTCCTCAAGTAGGCTCTGAAGAATGGAAAGTAGTCATATTGGCTCATCAGAAGTGCCAGAGTTTGGTTGAAATCAGAGAAAGTCCATTTGCTAGAGATGTTCCAGCCTCCAAGCTGAGAAAAAGGGAGGGAAAGTTGAGCATAAGATCTATGAGACCTATTCCACATTGTCTGGTTTTATTCTTCCTCTCAGAGCAGGTATCTCCAGATTTTTTAGTCCTTTGATCCTTTTTAGGACTTCACATGTATTCTCTCTGTACCCTAACAGGAAGTCATGATGTTCCACAGGACATCACCATGACCACCTCCCTCCTAGAACTTACGGATTCCTAGGATACAAGTCAACACTGTAAGGGCGAATGCCTAGCTACTAACTTCAAGCTCACATTCTTCCTGTAGGTTAATTATCCTCAAAATATGATGCACCAATGTTTCCTTACCGCCTCGATAACTTGTTGGAGGGGGCCAGTTCCTGCTGCTTCGATGGCATCTATGTCCATGCAGGAGCTATAGAATTGGAAGGCTTTCTCTTCCTCTTCAGCTACTAAAAAGGAAATACAGCACAGTAAAGCAAGTGGAGGCTGATGTGGAGACAGAGAAAAGTAGGGGATAGGGAACCTATAGGAAAGAACTGGAAGTTTTCCACAAGAATGTGCAACAAAGAGGAGAAACCAGGTTGAGGAAAATAGAAAGTCTACACAACTTGGAATGAACTGAGTTGGTGGAAAGGTAAAAGCAGAGTAAGGTAGTGCAGACAAGATGATGAGGAAAGGAAACAAGGAAAGGAAATCAAGAAGGAAAACTCATGGAATAAAAGAATAGGAAGACGTAAGATTTGAAAGAATGATAAAGGATAGAAATGGAAGTCAGGAAAGAGATGAGTGAAAAAATTAGAAAAAAATTTAGGAAACCAGAAGATTTTGAGGGATTGCAGGAAAGAAAACTCATATTGGCAAGCTTAGTGAAGAGAAGAAATGGAAGACGCAGTTAGTTCAAACTCTTCTTATCACTTGCTACCAAGAAACAAAATGATACACTACAATCACCCAAGCCCGTCCATCTAAACGATTCACCTGCTAATAACTAACCCTGTCCCTTCACTCTTCCTTCCACATCCAGCATCTTATACGACTTTCTCTTGGTTCTTCTCAACCCCAGCAGTTGGCTTTCCTTCTTCACACACTGTCTCTTTGAAAACATTATTTACCTCCATTTAACTTATTTCTCCTCTTATTCTGTCATATTACTCCTTCCCTTACTCCACTAATAATCAACCTCTGCCCCTCCTCACTCCACTCTCTTACTTCCTTTCTCCTACAACAGTTTCCAGTCACTATCACTATGATCCCATTTGTTCCAGTTCAACTTTCTGACCATGGGCCAAAGTTGCAGAGGAAGAGTAAGAGGTTCATTAGGCTGAAAGGAATTTGAGACATGGCAGGAGAAGAAGATGATGCTGATGAGGAGGCACTGAAAGAGCATATTTGGAATCTAGAAGATGAGAGTATGGAGAAAAGAAAGGTCAGGCTGCATTAAAGAGCTGAAAAAGGAGGGAGATATGTGTAGGATACACGTTAAAAATTCATAGAAAATAACAAAGATGAAATTGTTAAAAAGGAGTCAGGGAAAGGAATGGAGGAATTACAGATACCTAGGAAAGAAAAGGGTATGGAGATTAGATGAAGAAAAAATGTATACAAAGACCAGCAGAGATAGAAGAAAAGAAGAGTTTTAGGGGACAGGGAACTGATGAAGAAGCAAACCCACAGGTCCACAGAGGATGATGCACACCAGTTTTTCCCCAGTTATTCAAAGCATAGGGGAGTAATGATGGTGTTAGACTGGTCACCTACTTTCCCAGTGACCCTGTCCTCCCGCTTCCCTACTCAGGAGTCTTCGCAGTAGGTTTTTGTTTTCATCCTCAAGAGCATGAAAAGAATTATTGATCTCTCCAGGCTCTCCACAGGTAAAGCTGAAGAAGTTAGTGCAGGGGGCTGCGCTGCTGTTCCCAGAGGCCATGTAGTAGTTCAGAAGATCCAGGCACACGGATGTCTCACAGGGGGCTGCGGGCAACAGCACAGAGCTACAGAATTGTGAAAGGGAAAAGGACTCCCCCAAAGGGCTGGCACAGGAATGGCCGGTGAGAAACAAAGGATGGACCAATTGGGCAAAGGTCTGATTTGTGGCTTGGCTGGGGGATTCAGGGAGGAAGAAGCTGGAATATCTGGGGAATTCCAGACCTAGGGTGAGCTGCTACTGAGAGGCCAGGAGCTCAGGAACATGGATCTGGGACCCTGCTAAAAAAAGGCAGCCTGGGTTGGGGGAGTCCAGAGTCTTGCTTACGAGGACCGCAGTTTGTGAAGATGTAGAACCAAAGCACAGAAGATCCAAGGAGCAGGCCCAAAAGCAGGAGAGTCAGCAGTGTGCGCCTGACCATTGACCACTGGCAGCTCCACTTCAGGGGTAACACATCTTCTGGAGATCTCTGTGGGAGCACCCAGGAGGTGGGAAACATAGGACAGAGAGGGTTGGGAGTGAAAGGCATGGTGGAGAGGCAGGGAGGGGGAAAGAGAACAAACAAGTTAGTACTAGGCCCCCTCTGCATGGAAGTGACTCTGCTCAGCCTCCAGAAAATGCAACCTTTAGACCCCTGGGAGGTGGGAAGGCACCTGCCTTGGGTGCACAAATCGAGTGTCAGGGGACTCTGGAACTGGAGGAGAAACGCCCAAGGCTGCAGAGGAGCCACTGACCTCCTGGCAGGCGGAAGCTTCCAGTCCACTGGCCCAGCCCCGTGCACTTGTCTCTTGCATGCTTTTGTCCTCATCATCCTGAAGTGAGTGGAGGAAAAAGAAGGAGAGAAAAGTTGGTTCAGGAAGGGAGGGCCTTAGAGACAGTTTTAGCAGACCATTTTGAATCCCCTCTCTGCCCACCTCCCCCTGTTCACTGATGTTTGTGCACAGGCAGTGTCTTCAGATGGCCCCAGGATGAAGCTCTCCCCTGGCTAAACCATCTTCCCTGCCTCTCCTTCACTGTCCTGGCCTGTCCCCTGTCTGTTCTATAAGCCTCCATTCTCTCTTCTCCATGGGGGCAGGCACTCACGCACCCACCCCACACTCCACTCCAGGCAACCAACTGCACCAGAGCCCGTTTCTCCAGCACACTTGCCATTGTCTGTCCTTCGCTCTGGCCCCCAGGATCCTTCTTGGTTCTGCTCTAGGTGCTGATGCTCAGAGCTGGGATTGAGAAATGACCTCTGTTCTCCTCAGGCCCAGGTCCATGTTTCTGGAGAAGGAGCACTTCTGTCCCTCTACCACTCTGTCCCCAAACAGGCACTGTCAGGTTCTGTGGGAGGCTTATCTGTGGCAGACACTCTTGCCTCCCCTTCCTGCTTATCTGAGCTTCTCAGAAGAGGAGATGGAGTCATCTCCATTGGGCAAGCAGGCGTGCACTTGTTCTGCTTCTGTTACTCTGCTCTGTGACTTTGCTCACTAGTTTCCTTTTGTTCCAGAGTATTCTTCTCTCTCTCACCTTTCATTCGCAGGTCAAATGTCACCTTACCTGGGAGGCCCCACTGCTCTGCGTCCATTCATATTGTTTCCAAGCATGCTTAATTGCTGCTTTAGGAGGTTCATGACCCTCTGGCTGAACGCAAAGTTGTGCATTAAAAAGAGCATCCACCTAGGAGACTTGGATCTGCTAATTATTAGCTCTGTGACAATAAAAAAGGCCACTTAAACTCTCAGGTAAGTAAGCAATTTTGTCATCTGGAAAATGAAGGTAATATTTTCCCATGTTTACCTCATAGGGACTTGAACTGGCAACAAAAGAATGAGATTGCACAAGGTCTCTCTTTAAACTGTATTCTGTTCTAATCTCTATAAACTGAATGAAAACTGTTTTGTAGAAAGTAATTTTTTTCTACACATCCATCTCCGATACTTTATAAATGCTCGTAGGAGTAAACTGACTTTTATGCTAGCAATTCTCTTTCTCACTTTATACTGAGCCTATGCCTGCAGCCTCAGTAAAGCAAGCACACCTTTAAGAGTACAGTTCTGCCTTGATCTTTGTGTCATCATTCTAGACAAATATAGTTTATCAGGATGTTAAGGACACCTTGGCCAGATTTTCTGAGAGCAGCAGTGCTGTGCAAGGCCAGGGTATACTTATTGGGATGGAGGTGGGCATGGCAAGATGGTCCATAGATGGAGATGCAGAGAAAAGCTAGCGTGCTAACTTGGACCACATCAGGGAACATAAGAAACTCATGAAGGAAAGCTCAAACTTCATAGAGTAGAACATGAGACAATGGGGAAAGTGAAGTTTTTGACGAAAGTGTGACAGTTTGAAATAACATCTAAGAATGAGGTGGTACTGGGGACCTGTCTGATGGAATGAAAGGCAAAGACAGTGGCTACTTCGGTGTTGCAGAGATGAGCAAGTGAACACTGGCCCAGGATGATGGCAAAGGGGAGGAAGGGCACAGAAAGACAGCGTCATGCAAGAGAGTGCAGCCCTGGACACTGGTTGAGGGGAAGGTTTAGAATCGACTCACAGATGCCTAGCAAGTTGTATTTCTCAAGGGTAGGAGAATAGTGATGCCAGCAACACAAAAAGTGGAGTCCTGGTGAAGTCAGCTGCTTAGAGCGTGGCGCTGACACAGAGGAGCACACCATGGCAGTGGGTGCTGTGTGACATTTGCCTCACAGACAGTCATTGCAACTGCACTCAGGTTCTCTCCTTGCTGGAGAAGCTGAGTTAGCATGAGTGGCAAGAAAGCCTACAGTTTCACCTTTCCCTACCCAGCTGCCTCCTACAGGCAAAATAACCTTGTTACCTGGCCTTTCCTGCTTCTTGGTGAGCCAAGAAAAATTCATCGGGTACAGATGTCAAGACACCATGCTCAAATGAGGAAGCATTAATAAAGCAAAAACATTTATTGCGAAGCAGATTAGGGTCACTAGAGTGTGAGCAACACTGGGCTTCTTTGTCTCGTTTTCATTTTTTTAATACTTTCTCTTGTGGGGTATTTCCACATACTCATGACTTACCTTTGTTCTACTTTCAGTTTGGAGTTGTACATGTGTTTTCCCATCATTCTTTAGTAATTCATGGGATGCATGAGGTGCTGTACATATGGATGAAACCTTAAGTATCCAATAAGGAAGGTGGGATCAACCCAAGGACACCTGGGGCAGGGAGGGCACATGCGCTGCTGAGTGGAAAGTCCCTAGTTCTTCTTTGTGGTTAGGTGGTATCATCTCTCCACTTAGGGCCTTTTTGGGCTGTGGCCATTCGCAGCTTGGCTCTCCTCCCATTATCAGAAGTAACAGCTTGTGCCGATTCGGTTTTCTGGACTGTCCTCTACTGATCATATCTGACTACCTTCCTACAACCTCTGCTCTGAGAGCTGCCTCCAAACCATGTCTGCTCCTTCCGTTCCCTGTTCCCACCCCAAACAGGCCCAGCCTATAAAGCCCACAGTCACCACTTTGAGCTGAGTGCTAAGGAACCTGGCAGTGACAAGTAGGTAGGGCTCAAATTTACCTTTGCAGACACTGCTTCCTGTTTGCCTCAATTCTTGTCTCTCACTATAATTCCCAGAGCTTTTGCTTAATGCATACAAATATCGAAGTAGCTAGTAATAATAACAGTGGCATCTACCTTTACAGACCCCTTATGAGCCAGGACTATACTAAATACTGTGTGCATATTTTTTCCTTTGATCCTCACAGCAATTGCATGAAGGAGAGAAGTTATTAATTTCTCTATTTTACAGCTGAAACAGATGAAGTACGTGAAAATGCAGTATGTTTACTCAAAGTTATAAAATCAATAATTATGAGAACTAGAAATTAAACAAATACCTTAATAATTGAACCTCCCAGGCATTAAGCTTCGTATATTTGGGAAGAATTTCTTTCTAATCAAAATCTTTCTCCACCTAACTTGCCTTTTCTTTCATGTCTTGGCATTTTTCTGTGATGGCTTTAGAGGTCATTATTCTCAAAATTTTCAACCATGTAATTTTTCTCTATGGTGTCCTATATAATCATCTACTATCTAGTGCTTAAGGTTTAATAATGAAGGGCAAGACATTTAACTACAGAAGCCAGGGGAGGTGGCACAGTTTTATAATCCCAGCACTCAGGAGGCTGAGGAAGGAAGATCACTGCAAATTCGAGGCCAGCTTGGGCTTTGTAGTAAGTTCAAGGGCAGTCTGGACTACATAGTGAGACTCTGTCTCAAAAAAATCCAGCCAACAAACTAACAACAAAAAGACATTTAACTCTACAGTGTGATACCCAGCTGTGCATGTATACCTGTGGGAATTTACTTCCCAGATCATTTGATTACAGGGAGAGCAGCTAGGAAGCTCTCTACCATGAGTAACTGGCCTGATTTGGAAGGAATCAGTAATTCTTATTATCACAATATTTCTTAGGACATTGCCCAGGGGACCACAGAGCATGGATTTGGGTATGCTAACTTTTTTTTTTTTTTTTTTTGAAAAAAGAGTACCTAAAAATACTCTGTCACATGGATGGTAGTCTCCCAGTGCTCTGTAGCCTCACAAGACATCTCAGGCCCTGTGATGATGTAGCATTTTCTCACCTATGGACTTTTGAGCCTATTCATATCATGGGCAAAAGATCATCTTAGCTTTTATGTAGAAAATAAAAATTTGTAAGACTCTAATAATTTCAACATTTTTCTTCTGAATTCTCGCTCTGTCTTTTCTTTTTAGCCTACCTGTCTTCAGACTTGAAGGCTGAGCTTCCTACACAGACTTAGATATGGTACATTTTAGGGATTTTGGCTTAAATATACACCTTAAATCTTTCTCACCTGGAAGATTCAGGTAAAATCCTATTATCTATCTTGATGCCCCTAGGTGTTTTTAGTTTCTATAGAAATTGTAAAAATCCATCATCATATTTTAAGAACAAATAAAAATTATTTGTATTTCTTGAGTATATTTTTTGAAATATGTACCTATTGTGAAATGATTAACTCAAGGTAATTAACATGTTTTTTCGTGAAGACACTTAAAATCTATCCTTTTTGAATTTTCAAGAATATAGTACATTGCTACTAATTGTATCACTGCTATAGAACAAATTCGGGGTCTGAGGATTTAGCTCAGTGGCCTAAGTGCCTACCTGGCAAGGGTGAGGTTGTGAGTTTGATCCCTAATTCCACATACACACACAAAAGTCCCAATTACAATAAATCTCTTGAACTTCAACTTGTTTCTTCTTGACTGAAATTTTATGTCTTTGATATAAAAGTCCCCAACTGCCCACTCTCAGTCTCATCCTCTGGTAATGACCATTTTATGCTCTACCTTTATGACTTTAACTTTTCACAATGTCCATGTAAGTGAGACCCCACAGAGTTTGACCTCTTCTGCCTGGCTTATTCTACCCAGTATAACAGCCAGCAGATTCATCCATGTCATCCCTAATGACAGGATAGTCTCTTTTAAAAGACTAAGTAGTACTCCATCATGTGTCAATACCAGATTTTCTATGCCAATTTATCCAGTAATGGACTCCTAGGTGGATCTCTGTCCTGACCATCATGAAGAGTGTTACAGTGAATGTGGGAGTGCAGATGGCACTTGAGCACCCATTATTTTGGGGGTCCAGTGTTTTTGGCCTTGCTACAAACAGTCCTAATTATCAAATATGTAACGATGAATTAAAATTAGTGATCACTGGGGTCAGAACAAAATATATATATTTGCATTTGAAGGCAACTTTTTGTTATATTTGATTGAAAAGAATTAGTATTCTTTAAGATATGTCAAGTTACATCACCTAGTAATATATATACTGTTCTGGTGTGTAGCTCAATATTCTACTGTAGATTAATCATTTAACTGCACTGTAGGCTCTAAATAAAAAATGGTGAAATAACTATTGTTCTTGACAAAAAGCTCTCAGCTGTGTCTGGTCTCCTGTATGTCCAAATACAGGATCTGACCCACAACACCTCATCTGATTCTTTCCTTAAGTTTGAACCTCTGCCACTGATATTATTTGTTAGTTTCTCACTGAGGATGTCATGGAATGGAAATTTTACCGTAAGTGAAAAAAGAACTAACAATAGACTTATCTATAGCTATATAGTTAGAAAGTTATTCATAACTTCTTCTTAAAAATATAAGCTCCTGCGGCTAGGGATTTAACTCAGTAGCATAAGCACCTGCCTGGCAAACACAAGGTCATTAGTTCAATTCCCCAATATCTATCTGTCTATCTATCTATCTATCTATCTATCTATCTATCTGCTCCTAATTGTCCCACTATTGAGAAATAGCTAAATGGTGAATCTAAACACTTCCATA